ATTCCGCTTTAAAACACCTACCGTTCAAATCCCTCTCTGATGATGGTTATCGAATTATCATACACTGTAAAAACTTTTTGTATATACATAATCAATTCGAAAAATTCGCTCGACAATAAACCAATCCATTGTATCGACATTAACAAATCCAAAATAACAATGACGTTATTAAATATTCCAACAGAATTCATCATCGAGCACCTCACCATACTCTCATACATAACCCCTTTCAAAAGTTAGTTATATTAAAAAAAAATTTATTGCCACTCGACGAGGCCCCTCGTCGACTCGAATTCAATAATGAACTCGCACCCAAAACAGTTCGGGGCCCTTCAACGCCGCGATGTTTATCGATCAAACCGTTCCGGCCCGACGGTTTCGAATACAACTAGAGAGAATCCGTCGAGAGAAAAATTCGGCTCTCGAGAGAAGGTGCAGCGCGAAAATCCGGACACCCTTTCCATTCCGACGGCACAATGGGCCCTTTAAAGCGACAATGGCGAATGGGTTTTCGATATTTCGGGGGGCCCGGCGGAGCGCGAAACTGTTTCAAACCCACCGCCGATTCGTTGCTCGTTATTTCGGCGAGTTTAATTCCCATTGTGGCGTCTTTTGTGTTGGGTACGCTAGGAAGGTTTGTCAATCGAATTTTTGGATTGCGTGTATACGGAGGATTATCGCCGTCTTTAAACGGGCCCTCGACAATGCCTAATTGGAGATTAGCGATTTTTTTTCCAACGTTAATACGTTTGTTTAATGTAACGTGAAATAGTGTAATGGTATAGTAAAGATAGAATTAAAACGTTTTTTTTATATAATTAAAACGTCTAAAATAATTCCATTAGGCGTGAGGGTAGCAGATGTGCGAAAAGGAGGTTTATACAACGTCTTTGTATATCTTCTCTATAAGCAGTCGATTAGTGTTTATAACCCGACCTTCATTAAAACTTTGATTAATAACCGCCAAATTGAGTGTTAAATTCATTACACAAAGTGAATAAATTGAAGATTAATTAACCATTGATAATTTAAACTCGCTAGGCCGTAGCTTAACGAGGTTAAAATTTACATTTGAGGACGGAAAGCACTTTAACGGGGCACAAACACAATTAGGAGGGGGCGGGCCCCCTCTCTACCCCGAAAATCCGCCCCATCGTTCCTCTCGGGAAAACGGGGGGGGCGAGAAAGCAGCGGGGAAAGAGAAAAGCGATGAGATGAGAAGAGAGGCGGCCGATGGACGAACCGGCGCCGCTCCCGCCGCCGCCGCCGCCGCCGTCACAGAAAATCTAAAGAAGGGTCGCCCGGAAGTGTCAAGTGCACGCGCAGTCATCTGCCAGCTGGCCCGAGCACCATCTATCAATCAACCCCTTTTCGCTAATACCCGACAAAAGACACCCCTAATTAACCGCAGTCAAGGAGAGGTCCCATTATATAGACACAAACAGTACATACACATACACACACTAGATCGTTCACTGGGGATTGTATACACGTTGCTTTACACGGTCTGCTTATACAACTATTAGCACTATTGCTTGAAGACTTAATGGAGATATAACTCATTAGAACCCAAAAGAAAAGTCCTACTGAAGCTCCTCTCCATTGTGGAGTAAACAGATAGTGAATTTTAAAGAGTTGTGAGTAAAATAATTGAACAATGGCCTTGATTAAATGGCGCTTTTAGAAAGGTATAATAATACTATTAGCACTATTGCTTGGAAATTTAATGGAAATATAACTCATTAGAACCCAAAAGAAAATCCCTACAGCTCCTCTCCGTTGTGGAGTCGTTTAAAGATAGAGAATTTTAAAGAGTTGTTAGTAAGATAATTGAACGATGACCTTGATTAAATGGCGCTTTTAGAAAGGTATAATAATACTATTACCACTATTGCTTGGAGATTTAATGGATATTCGAAAAGATATAACTCATTAGAACCCAAAAGAAAAGTCCTACTGCTCCTCTCCATTGTGGAGTAAACAGATAGTGAATTTTAAAGAGTTGTTAGTAAGATAATTGAACGATGGCCTTGATTAAATGGCGCTTTTAGAAAGGTATAATAATACTATTAGCACTATTGCTTGGAAATTTAATGGAAATATAACTCATTAGAACCCAAAAGAAAATTCCTACAGCTCCTCTCCGTTGTGGAGTCGTTTAAAGATAGAGAATTTTAAAGAGTTGTTAGTAAGATAATTGAACGATGACCTTGATTAAATGGCGCTTTTAGAAAGGTATAATAATACTATTAGCACTATTGCTTTGAAATTTAATGGAAATATAACTCATTAGAACCCAAAAGAAAATTCCTACAGCTCCTCTCCGTTGTGGAGTCGTTTAAAGATAGAGAATTTTAAACAGTAGTGAGTAAGCTAATTGAACGATGGCCTTGATTAAGTGGCGCGTTTATAGAAAGGTATAATAAATAGCGTGACTGAGCGCCGAGCGCCCGTTATATTAAACACGACATTCGGAATTATTTTATCAGCGACCGAGGACCCTTATTTCCTGGATATTTATTAGCGATCACGCTCCGCACTGGCCTTTTCTTACCCCCGGCGCCGCCGGGGCCCTTCGTGATCCTGTTAATTATGCGAACTATAATGTATATAGCATGCGGAGCGCGCTTTCCGAACGATTTTCGGGGGACTCCCCCGGGGACGCCTTTATTCCACGTCGGTTTTAGGACCGATTCGACCCGGTACTGTGCAGGTTTATAATGTAAGATAAATTAATTTTATTGCCGACTAAACAGTCGAAGATTGTCGTCGGTTGGGCACGCGATGCGACGTGTATTTCTACACGCCAAGTCGGCGGCGTTGTCGGATTTATTTATAATTCGCTGTAATTCGACTGGATAACGAGATATTTCGAGCCAATACGGCGATTTCTTATATACCAACTAAGTAAGAGGCCGTTATTAGAGAATCGATTTTTGGATATTGGCCGGATGCGATACAACGCAAGAGGCCATCTGACATAAAAAGAAGAAGAATTGTTGGGTATACACCAATTTAAACGTGTCGCTTTCGGGGGAGATTAAATTTCGAATATTCGAAGGGGTTGGCCGGTGGAGATTCGAAAGTTTAAATGAAATTTCCGTTTTTTGAATAGGGCTCGGTCGGGGTAAATGGCTTTTCCGAGACGCGCGCGTTTTTCTCGAGCGATAAGAGCGGGCGAAAATATATAAGAAAACCCGGAGTTGTGTGCTCGATTTATTGAAATTTTCCGGACGGGATGGTGTATATGGGGATCCCCCCGCGCGCATAAGTGGAGGCTTTGATGTCGCCGTCGAATGTTCCGGGGGAAAATCAACTTCGATTTCGTTCGGTTCGTTTCGCCGGTTTTCCAATAGAAATTCAATTACTGTATCGATTTTTTTTTTTTTTCAATCACGATTGCTGCTTTATTATTATTTCTTCTCGAAATTATCGTTTCGGGCCAATTAATTGGCGATTCCATCGGACATTATGTCGCATATATAAAAGAGAGGCAAAATTCTCCGGGGGGATTAAGTCCGGCTGGTACGAGAGAGGCGTCTATCCGACAAGAGATCGAGAAAGTAATCCGATTGTTTCGTTAAAGGGACGTCTTGTTAGTTCAACGGGCGTGATGGATCGCCCGAATAATCCGCCAGGTGTCGCTCTGGATTCCGGGGAATTTCGTAAACTCTTCATCCTCCACCATCATGCAATTATTATATACAGGTTGCTCCATTTTTGTTCGCAATATAGGTTATATGGGTGCGATAAAAACAACTTTCATTAGACACTTATATTAGGATAAAGAAAGAGTGACATTTGTGTCATTGCGACTTTTCACTCTGACAGCTGTCATTTAAAATAATCGTTCTTTGTTCCACTCATAAAAATGTAGGTGTATAGAAATTTTTGTAATAGAATTAAGAGATGCGCGTTAAATTAGGCGTAATATTGTCTCCCGTTTGGTCAGCGAGGAATTAAAATCAAATTTTCAATTTCCATGTAAATTGAACGCACGGAAAAAAAATAGGAGGATTATCGCTAATAAAAGCGAACGGTCGTTTTTTTCATCATCATTTCATCATCATCGGCGGGGCGGAATGAAAATATAAAAACGCGCGCGGCGGTGTTTTCGTTTTGTCGCGCGAAATGAAATATTTTCAATTACGGCTCTTTATCGAAATTGGTCGTCGAACCGAAAATGTCCAATTAAATTTCGTTTAAAAGTGGAAAATAACGCACACGCGAAAATAAAACAACAAACCGGACCGCTACCGGCGAAGCCCCGGCCTTTTTTTTTTTTTTACATACCATTCGATGCGCCAATAAAAATATTCATCCGACGATGAAATGTAATAAATTTCGTTTCTACTATTTCGCGTTTATTTGCGTAATGAATTTAATAGCGAAATAGTACTTGAAAGCAAATATTTCACTCTACCTTTTTTTTTTACTATAATTAATGATTCAATAAAATCATACTTCATATAAGCTCGTTCATATGATTCTATAAAGTTGTCTTTATTATTATCGAGTTAATATTTCAAATATTATAAAGGTATACAATCCCTATACCATTAGAATCTCTATTATCCAATGCTCTTAATTTTATTACATTAAAACCGTGCATAATTTGAGAGTAATTTCGCTATACGAGTGGAATTTACATTCAAATGCAAATACACATCTTCCACTACGAACTTCCACTTAAATATCTCTGCATGATTTCCAGGAAGATATATATAGATAGAGAGATGTAGAAAACCATAATATAATTTTTCAATTAATAATCCTAGTAAATTTGCACCTCACCAAGCTAGTATACACCTTTAGGCCGACCCGCTAACGGAGCAACTGTTTTAAAACAAAAAAAAATTGTAAACCAGTTGATCTTGCAACTATTTCGCAACTATTTCGCAACACAATTCGAGGTTGCAAAACAGTTGCACTAGCAATTTTTTCGTTACAAAACAGTCGCTCCGATGAGCGACCTTTAAAACGGAAAGAACGGAACTCACCTGTACCCTGACCTCGGGCAAATTCACCTTCATGGCGAGCTCCTCTCTGCTGTAGACGTCCGGATAGTGGCTCTTCTCGAAGGCCCTTTCGAGCTCGTGCAACTGATAGGTGGTGAATGTGGTCCGGTTGCGTCGGTGTTTCTTCTTGCAGGAGGAATCGCCCTCCGATTGTCCGGACGTATTCGTCGCACCCTCGTCGTCTGAGCCGCTTCCCGCCGTCGTCGAATCCATCAACTTTCCGTAACGGAGATCCGAAACGCCGTCGTTCGAATTGCAACTTCCCTCGCCTGGAAATGGAAATTGCGAATCGCGAATCAAAATCCGGTTGTATATATTTTTCTCGGGCGATTTTTTTTTTTGTATTTGTATTTGTATCGTCTTCATCGGGAGGTATGTAGCTACATATACAGGTTGCTCCATTTTTGATCGCAACATAGGTTATATAGGTTATGGGTGCGATAAAGACAACTTTCATTAGACACTTATAAAGGAAAAGGGAAGAGTGACTGATTTGTGTCATTGCAACTTTTCACTCTATGACAGCTGTCATTTTAATCATTCATTGCAATGGGTGCGATAAAGACAAGTTCAATTAGACACTTATAAAGGAAAAGGAAAGAGTGACATTTGTGTCATTGCAACTTTTCACTCTGTGACAGCTGTCATTTTAATAATCTTTCTTTGTTCCACTCATGACTTTTTTCAACTTAATTATACATTTTTTTATTAAACCAGAACGAATTTAAGAAAATTTAATATCCATTTCGACTTATTTTTTGACAATCTTTTCAAATCTGTCATTATATTTTTTACGAACGTTATTTGGTAAAACTCTTATCTTGCATTTGACACATTTCTACAGAAATCCCTATGTCACATCTTATAAATAACACATCAGTGTATGTATAGGTAGTGTATAAACCCCCGGTTGACGGTAATTCAGGGCTAATAGAAATACAATACAAACACGCCAACCGGCATTTATACACATCATAACCTAATGATTCAGTGTCCGCGGTATCTATTCGACTATCGCCGTTCATATATGAGCTCTCCCCCCGGTTATTTACCGATGCAGAAACATTAATTACGGTTATATCGCGACATCTTGTCACGTTCCATAAACAACGACGCCGGTTTCGGCTGGAAATCGTCCGGCTAAAGTTTAAATTATTCACGAATCGGTGCTCGTCCCGCGCTTTATTTAATATACCTACTTATTGATCGGAATTAAACGCTATATATAACGTGAATTGTTGTGAAAAAAAAATTATTAAATACAATTTATCTTAATTACCCATCGGTTATTTTAATGGTTAGATACAATTCGTGATGTGATTTATGTATGGACGTCTTACGAAAAGGCACGATGCTAATTTCCTCGGGCAGTTTAAGTGAATTAATTTAAATAATGAGCTATTAATTATACGCGAGCGGGGTTCGCCATATCCATCTCCCTACTTAAAGTCGAACAAATTTAACGTGACTTTTATTATAGTTGAAATTTATTAGGATTTCGCATGATGGAAGGCTCCCGCGCGATCCGAATTGCTCCGCAACCATACCTTGTATAGTTTAGGTATAATAGGGAGATTAATCGCGACTGACATTTATGCAAATCCTATGGATTGGTGCACACACGATATATACTTTGTTGTTGCACGTTGCACGCCTTTTGTTTGCTAATCGAATTTTTCGAATTATACCGCTATAACGATTCCAAACAATTTCCCAGTAATTTGTAGATTTTTATAGATTTTCCTGCCGGTTACCGAGAAATTGCTACCCTTAAATTCGTTCTACGGGGTTTTATAAACCTACACCGGTAAATTTGATAAACGTATATCGATAGTCTATTCAACAGTGTGCAATTTATATCTACCAATTTCAATTACTCTCTCATGTGTTAAATTCACAAATATTGAGATTAATTTAAAAGTTGCAGGTTTTTTGATCGCCGAATTTAGTATGAATTGTAGAGATAGGGACAAAAAATCCACTTAGATATGAGAGAAAACGTTTTAATTTCGCATATTTGTAAATTTGGTGATCAAAAAGTCTGTAACTTTCAAAATAATCGCAAATTTTGCGAACTATTGTGGAGCAGTTTATTTAAAAGTATACACCATTTTAAATGAAACTTACATAATAATATTATACTCATCGAATCTTATAATTATACCTTTCCATTGAAATCCGTTTTGGAAATATTAATCAAAGCAAAGTGGAGATTTGTGTTTTAAAAAGCAATTCCGAACGAGCAGACATTTCATTGCATTGCACGTGATGCGAGAATATAACTGTTTGTAAAACGAGTACTCTATAATGCAATAAAATTAAGCGAAACGTAACATAAATGTTTCTACGAGGATCGTCCTATAACAACCCGCTTTACATACATCCCCTTTGTATGTATGTACATATCGTTTACTCCTGGTATATTTCGTGTTGTTATATAGGTATAGAATTGTGACTGGAATTGCGTGTAGATAATCGTATCACCAGCGATACGGCGGGTTTAATGGAACACCGCTTGGATTACTTAACTTGATGTTTTTATTTCGATTTAAGTAGGAAACCCGTTAGTGCCTCGTTATTGCGCTTCATCCGCCCCCCTAATTCGAGCAAAATGATTTTATTTTTTTTTATCGAAACAACACGTAAATTGTTTTATACGACGATCGATGCGTTTTACCATCATTCGAATCGTTAATTTGCGCCATACCCTCGTATATTTTTTCCAATTAATTCTTCCATTAGCGCGCGAATTTAACCAATATAACGAATTACAGCGGGAATTAATGAACATATTTCAAACACCATTAGTAATTTAATTTCGAGTAACAAAAGGCGACCCATTGAATCCGCAAAAAGCGAAAACGCTTCGCATTGTTCGGGCCGGTTAGCCGATAAGTCGGGGGCCACCCTTTTATGATGAAAATTCGCGCGAGGTAGAAACTGTAGAAAGGTCAAAGCTCCGCCCGTGCGACTTATTAAATTATTACACGTCGACGTCCATTGCGTTAGCCGGAAAATTAATCAGTTTCTGACACATAATTAATCCGCTAAACGGGCTAATTAGCGATTCCGTCGAAGGTTTTATATAACAAGCTTAATGAGATGTTGATTGCTTCGCGGGGGCGCTCTACAAATGGCATTTATGTTTCGATGCGAATACTTATTATATTAGTATCGACAGAAAAATAAAAGCTGTGACTAATTAAATTTACTATATACTTATTAACTTATATAAAATATTGTTATTTCGACAAGACTTTTTGTATACAGAGTAACAAAGTTTGACCAATCTGGGAAAATTTTTTGTAGTTTTACGTTCAGTTAAGTAGTTACGATTTTCAGTTAGGCATTAAGTTAGGCATTTCAGTTAGGATTCTTATATTAACTGTTATTTAGATTTAAAAAAACTTTAGTTATATCTACTTACAATTTACTAATTAATGCAACTGTAACTTGTAGTTCTAATCAATTGTAGCTCTTATTTATCTATGTAAAGAAGTCAGTTATATTAATTGTGTTTCTTAGATAAGTTTTAACTGTACCTTCCCTAAAAGTAAATTACATGTTCTTTCTAATTTTACATTTATTTTAACTTTGCTAACAACATCAAATTCTTCATTTATCAAGGCACTTATTTCATAAACGCCCTGTATATAACGCACGCATCAAATCGTTATTGTTACATGTGATTTACGACACTTTTTTTTTTCTATAGAAATAAAAAGCTCTAATTGGGTTAGATATATTAACGGCCCGTCGACGATAATTACCTTTTTACCTCCCCCAGGGAATCGTATCAATCAAAAAAGGAAACGCGATTTAATCGTGATCGCATGCAATCCGAAAATTTTTTATATATATATATATATATATATCTAACTGATTTGGCGTGTTGTCAGCATAAATGCGTTTCAACTTATAATTTCATTTTCGATGCACTAAATAATACCTTATACCTGCTTATACTGTGCTGATGTAATGACATTTTAAAAACGGCACGAAATCTAATTAGATCTAAATTGTAATTAAACGCCGCTCGCTAATTGCTTATCGTGCTGTTCAAAACGAAGAAAAAATCGGAGCTCTTGTTAATTATGTACAGTTTTATTTGCATGGCAATCGATTAAATTCTGCAGTATATAGCCAAAAAAATTGCCTCAACAACCCCCTCGAATAATTGATTATTTAATTAAAATGACCATCGATCCGACGCCGGGCGATTTCGTGCGCATTAATTGCATCGAATTATTAATAAACACAACAGATTTTTTCGATAAGCCACAGCGGTAAATGTTAATTACTTTTTTGCATGCGCCTCCGCATTTTTTTCCTCCAATATACCCTTTAAAAGTCCGCTTGTTAAACAACCCACGGCCGTAATCGACACAAATGCCTTATTAGCGTTTAGAAACGGAAAGTTGGAATTTATACACAAAAATATATACCTCTTCCCGTCTATAATTTCCTCCTCCATTGTATACAATCGGTTTCTAAACTCTGTCATTTGGAGCAATTTACACATGTACGTTTATATGCATTTACGAGGGTGGTTCTATAAGTAATGAGTTTTTTTTTTGACGTTTGAAGTGAATTTGGTAGACCTGCTACATAATAAAAATGGCGGCGAGTTCCGTCGGAACGGAAAATGCGATTTGGGAAAGTGCTTTACACCATTTTTTTCGGGGCGAATTTACAATTTACATCGCGCTTATATTGATCAACCGATGGCGGAAAAATAGAGAAAAAAAATAAAAAAGATCAAGTCCCGGGGCCGCGCATTCGTTTTTATCCTCGTGTATTGACAGCGCGGCAATTTGACGTTCGCTCACTTGACAGGGAATTATATTTGATAGGCTTAAGGGAATTGACAAATAGGATGAAGGAAGCTTAATTGGTTGTTTTCGGTCTGTTTCGCCCGTCGCCTGTCAGGATTTCCTTACGCTATATTTATTTATATATAAAGGTTTTTAATATTATCTACAACATTTGCAAAGTAATTGTTTATTATACTCAACACGTTTATAGCGCCCCTTTAATTGGAGCCGTCTCTGTATAGATAATGCGCGATGCTAAAAAACGCGTTTTATTATTTTTTTATTAACATTACAAATTGGTAGGCGTTGCATTTAAATATCAATTAAGTAACACGTCGATTAAAGTGAGGCATTATAATTTTAATGAACGGGATTGAAATCTTTAGATTACTGCATGAATTTTTATTAAGATTAATGCGCTCGCAATGGCGGAGGTTCTTTGTGTATCGAGATTTATTTAATTCATTCAGTTATTGGCGGATTTTAATGAGAGTAAAAATGAGGCTTTTGCATAGCAAAGTTACAGCTAATAATGAGTTGAATATTTCGGCATATAATGTGTTTATTATTTTATTTAATAAAAATTGAATATTTTGTGATGACGAACGGCACTGTAGATGATCGGACTACTGGGTTCTCGAAGATGATGTATACAAATTTAAATCAATTATGCCGAATTAAAGATAAGTGGACTACCGTGATTATTATCGACAGATAATTCGACATGCCAATGCGCGGGTTCTACTAAATCGATGAACCATGGGCACTTAATGGATTCTGATCGTCATCGACCAACCATCAGAAAAAAAGAAGCAATAATAATAAAGAAAAAAAAACGAAATGTTAAACAGACTTAGAAGCGATGTCCGTGACTTGTTGTATTAAGGTGAGCCTATAAAGGTTTATAAAGCGCTCGGTGGATTTTGTATAAAGTGGCTTTTCTTTTCACTTTCTAATTAGGGATTCGATGAGATTGTGTTATGGCTTAATTTGCTCGTCGTGCAGCGTAAGAATTGTTTAATGTGTGATGATGATTTTATTTTAATCAGCTTTAAAGTTGTAAAGAAACTACAACTGCACAAAAGTTAAAGAAGTTCGCAAATTTACGATTATTTTAAAACTCGCAGACTTTTTGATAACCAAATTTTCAAATTTGCGAAATTAAAATGTTTTCTAGCATATCTGAGTGGATTTTTTTGTCCCTACCTGTACAATTCATACTAAATTTGGCGATCAAAAAACCTGCAACTTTTAAATTAATCTCAATATTTGTGAAGTTCCTTAACTTTTGCGGAGCAGTATATTTAAAATATTTGTATCATCAAAAATTGCATTAATTAGGTGGACAAAATTTCTTTAATATTTATTATGTTTTAGGTGATGTTCTCAGCAATTTGAACAAGTTTATAATCTTATGATACACTCTAGAAATAGTACAAAAATTGTAAATTAAGTACTGATTTAATTCGATAAGGTAGACTGGGGAAAATGTAAAAATGGGATAAATGTAATATTTTTACCTATTATGTTAATGTTTTTTATTATTTTTATAGTTCTTTTGTGCTTTAGATAGGGTTTGTTTCTTATTTTCTCTTTATTATTTTGTAGCTCTGTTATTTTTTCAAATAAATAAATAAACAGCATATCAAATTTTAGAGGAACCAAATATTTTTTTACAATTGCCCCATATGTTTTTTTCTATATAATTGTATTGCACTTTAGAACCCCATGGTAGGGGTTAAATGTAACATATTGTCAACATTTTAAAAAATATATAAAATCGCTTTCTTCCGTTTTCAAAAAAAAACTTTTTAATACCTCGATTCTTTAGTTTAGGAAATTGCGAATTTAATGGTATCAGCATTTCTAATAAGAGAAAAAATAAAGCCACATTTTAGGATTTAATTTGAACTATTCAAATTTTACAACCGATTTGCCCCACAGTCTATTACCAATTTTACAGAAGCAATATTTAACTGCACATAAATAAAAAAAATAGTTCTAGCAATCACCAATATTTGGGTACTAAAATTGAGTAAAAAAAAACCTGATGATAATATAAATAAATAATAAATATACATACCGGCACTTTCGGCGTTCCCGGGCGTCGCCGGCCTCTCCATCATCGCCTCCTCCTTCCTCTGCACCAACCCCAAAATATTATCGATAGTATGCCTCGGTCCCGAATGCATCAACGACGGACTGGCCGCCATCGTTCTCTTCGCTTCCAGCCCATAACCCGCCGCCGCCGCCGCCGCCGCCGCCGCCGCCGCCGCCGCCTTCGTCGTCAGTATGCCGGTCGCGTCTTCGCAGCGTTCCGTTTCCATCGCGCGCCCTCGACCGACTGCGGCCCGTCGCCCACTCGCCGCCGGCGTCGGTCGGAGGGGGGAGGGTTGGGGGGAACGGCGGTGGACGGGGGGGCGGGGCCCCGTTCCGACGCCCCCCGGCCAATCGGCGCCGCGCCGACGTCCATGATGGACGTCGGTGGAGGTAGAGGAGGGTGAGAGAGGGGGGCAGGGGCGCCGGGCCGGGCGCGTCGAATTAACTCGACCAAAATGCCTATTTGCTACCCGTCTTCCGCGGATTGTAACCAGTTTATTACGAGCAAAGTGTTCGTTTATCTACCGAATGGATTTTGCGATTTTGATTTCGATTCGTTAGTTTTATTGTTGTTTATTGTTGTCAAATTTTTCCTACAAATTAGCCTGATTATATTAGATTGGATCAAACTAATGACAAGAAGATTTACAGGTTTATAAAAAGAGGTGTAAATAAGCGTGAAATAATACCATCTTAATGATGAGAATTGTTAAATAAATCGCAATTTTAAAATTTTACTACCATTCTTTATTGCTTGCAAAAACTTCCATGATAATAATGAGATAAAATAAAAGCTTATTTAGCTAATTTAACAGAGTCGAATCGTGCTTTTTTTTGCTGTATAATAGGTAAGGCAGACTGGGGCAAATCGATTGTAAAATTTGAATAGTTCAAATTAAATCCTAAAATGTGGCTTTATTTTTTCTCTTATTAGAAATGCTGATACCACATTAAATTCACAACTTCCTAAACTAAAGAATCAGGTATTAAAAGGTTTTTTTTTGAAAAAGGAAGAAAACGATTTTACATATTTTTTAAAATGTTGACAATATGTTACATTTACCCCCTACCATGGGGTTCTAAAGTGCAATACAATTATATAGAAAAAACATATGAGGCAATTGTAAAAAAATATTTGATTCCTCTAAAATTTGATATGCTGTTTATTTATTTATTTCAAAAAATAACAGACCTACAAAATAATAAAGAAAAAATAAGAAACAAACCATGTCTAATGCACAAAAGCACTATAAAAATACTAAAAAACATTAACATAATAAGTAAAAATATTACATTTACCCCATTTTTACATTCACCCCAGTCTATACCTATATAAAGCTTCAAGCTTCAAGCTTTAGTGAGCTTTATATATAGTAAAGCGCATCGCTCGGGATTCGTTCGCAAAGACAACAACAATCGAGCAAGCAAAACAGCATCGCTAATTACCTAATGATACCTAAATTAGCATTATTAGATTGTGGGTTAAAAGCGCTCCGAATTTAGTGTATAAATAGCTAGGTATATAGGAGAGAGATAGGCTTTATGGCGTCCGCGTAATGAAACTAAATTGTTTAAATGTCGACGAACGCAAATATTGCCCGTTAAACCGATTTAATTTCCTGCGACCCGGCCGCATGACTATGGTAATCAAGCACCCGGCTTTTGGTTTACCTGCTGCTGGCCTCCGTCGATCGAGTCCTACGGCCCGCCGCTTTCTCTCTCCCTTTCTCTCTCTTGATATGCTCTCCTCGTTCGAAGCGTCGCGGCGCTCTCCGTCGAAACGTCGAACGACTAATCACGATGCCACCGCAGCCATAGACTCCATTATTTACTCAACTGCTTTCATTGATTGGATCTGATTGGAAAGACCCGTTCGATTCGATTCGAAATTCGCCTAACTTTCGTTAACCTGGATTTACAATTTCTGTTAATTCCGACTATCCCTGGGATTAGTTATTTAATTCAACGTTTACCTAATACACTTTATATAGGATATAGTTTTTTTTATTATTCGTTTATGGTCGAAAATTGCCAGGATTAGATGTATTAAAATTGGCCAAAACAGATGTTTAAACTAGGCAATAGAAGTTTCACAATAAACGCGTGTATTTTCAATAGTTCAATAGTATAAGACGACAAGTAAGATAACCATCGGTTAAAATGATAAAATCTCACGAGTTCAATACTTGTATACTTGTACAAAAAAAAAATGACCAAACCATCGGGAATCAGTGTCGTAGATTCGCCACTTCTAGAAGGCATTTTCCATCAAAAAATACTAATATTACTACTAAATACATGTCTATTTGTATAGATTTCATTATTTTCTTCTTTAATCCTATATATAGGCTTATATAAAATCGATGGAACAAATTCTTGAGCTCTTTGTTTCAACCTATTCGAAGTTTCCTCCGAACAATCTTGCATTTTAATAATTGTCTTCTTATCCTCCAATTGGTATAAATTGGCAATATAATTAGAAATGCTACTGGATATATTATAATAACACGGGCCATCCCATTCATATATTACAATAAGTATATACAGGAAAATCTCCAAATCCTCAACAATGCCCGCGCGGGACGCCACAAAAACCCCCAACACAAACCATCCCTATTTTGTCTTTTGATGCATCTCGAGATCCGCAAAAGATACTGTAAATACGTACATAAAAAAAACGAAAAGAATCTCTTTGAAATCCTATATACTCCCGACACATACCTATATAACGTGTAACTATAAGAAAATCAGTTCCGTTTCTGCTATTCATCAAGATGTTGCTCTTTTCAAGCGACTATACCACAACGAAAACGAGAATAAGAGATTTCGGTTTTTGTAAACACCGAGACATTTACACGCTCTATTAGCTCTGCGATGTGGCCTCGTCCCTGCAGCACACCCATCGATGATATATAATGGTTCGAAAAGGTGTGAATGGCCGTTCCGGCAACATATTAGGTATAATACATGTGTTCTATATGTATAACAGAATACACTGATGGTGTTTGGGGAAACAGGGGATTAGCGTCTTTTGGTAAACGGTACGGGGAATAAAGGCTCGAGTATTTTAACAATATAACACCCTCGGACAATGTGCGGTTAATAATAATAGCGGATTCGGCTGATAATAGTGTGAAAAATGTTCGAATACAAGTAGCTTAAAAGTTTTTGTAAATAACTATGTAAGTGTAAGAATTAGAGAGGCGCTTTCAAAAGAGGATTTAGTTTTAGATTGAGTTTGAAGTGATGACACCGAAAGGTCGTAAATTTTTTATTAAATTTCATCTACAATTCTAATAAATATATACAATATTTAGTATTATCGATATAACTGTAAACGAATAAAACGGATATACAATAAAAACAGCTGCATTTTCCAACACACACACACACACACAAAAAAATCCAAATCTTATATATTCAACCCATTGTTTACATTTGTTATACAATAAAGGTTTATATAAAAGAAACTAAAAAATAACCCACTGCATGACATTTTGACATTCATCCGTATCGGAATTATAAATTCTATAACTCAATTACCGGCCATTAGCCGTTATCTGATTGAAGAGATCGAAAAGGGCCTCGGAGAGAGTAAAAAAGGGATAACTATAACGACACGTCACTAAATATAAAATCCTTAAAAAGCTCGTGTAATTCTCTGTTTTGGAGCACACCTTTCGAGAAAGCCCATTTAGAAATTTGTTATTAGGGCCCCGTGCAACAGATAAAGGGTAGATAAGGGAAGGAATTAGCCGGAGCCCTTCGGAAACGGTTTTTCTACATATATATCGCGATCATCGAAAACCACTTTGGTTAATGCGAGGAATATTGGCACGAATCCTCTTCTATTTTTTTTTTTTGTCTATATATTTTTTTCGAGCACGGTATCATTATTTTAATTGAATCGAATGGGTCTGATTTCTGCTTCGGATCGGAGATAAACGAAATTATACGCTAACACGACAGTTCTATTTATACTACGTTTCGTATTTCTGTTTTTAAATCGCTTTTGTTTTACCGGGTAATTTTGTTTGATTTGATGGATGATGAAGAGAGAGACGATACCAAATTATACGGTGCTGTTTTTGATTACTTATTTGAAGTGTTGTTAAATTATAGTAATCGTATATAAAACAGTGAAATGTTTTAAATATAAATAGGTGAAATTTTCTATCTAAATAAAGTGAAGAAGAATTCGTCAAGTTAGGAAGAATCTTAATAGAATATAGCGAGATTCTCTGATGGATTATTAACAACATCATCATCAGAGGAATTGGAGGAAATTAAAAATAAATAGGTGAAATTCTCTATCTAAATAGAGTGAAGAAGAATTCGTCAAGTTAAGAAGAATCTTGTAATGATTTAATAGAATATATAGCGAGATTCTCTGATGGATTATTAACAGCATCATCATCATCAGAGGAATTGGATGAAACTGGCGTTGTATATTATAAAGATAAAAATCGAATTTAGAGCGACGACGAGGCATCAAGGAAAAAGCATCTCAAAGTATATATATAAAAGTAAAATAAATCGCGTCTCCCCAGCTCGAAAAACGCTCGTAACAATGTGCCAATTTCGGCATAAACAACCCATTGTAGTTGAAAATATAATAAAGGCATTTTTATGGCGGCTCCCATCTGCCTTCGTATCTTCGAACTAATCGCATTAGGTACTCCATTTTTGATGCGCCCTGCCTCCTGCCTCCCGGCTCCAAATCCAATTTAAAAGTCATTTGTACTATGCAGGAATAACGTTAGCATCGTTAATAATAGTAATAATAATTTCATTCGGTATACTCTTCGTCGTATAAAAGGAGATTACGTCGGCGTCGCGACGCGCCCGATTATAATTTTTCTTCTTCTTCTTTTTCTTTTTCTTTTTTTTTTTTTTCGAAAATAAAATCGCAGAGTAAAGCGCGCCGAGGATCATTTTTATAATTTTTAGCGCTTTACGGGCGGCCAAATTGAATTGCTCGCTCCGCGCGAAAACGTTTATGGGAAACTTTTTAAGTAAGATTGGATTGCCGTGGAATATTTAATTAAATTTCGCAAACGAGGAAGCTGAAGTGTCAATTAATTTTTCGCCCAGTTATACTCCGAATTACACCTCTCCAAGAAACTCCTCTCTAATGTATATAGCTTTATATAGAAATTATATCATCCATTGTGTATATACTTTTTTGTATCACAATTTCGCGAAATCGCGCCAGTAATAATCCAGCTTACATCCGATTGCATAAACAGCCCATCGTTTCGAATTCACCCGGCATATATACAAAGTAATTCCGTTACCGAAAAATATATTTCAATAAAGCCCGATGCACTTCGATCGTGATGACATCGAAACCCAATCCGCCAGCGATTATCGCCGCCCGTTGAACGCTCAAATGAAGTAGAGGCGAGAGAATCACTTCCGACCGAAAGCTTCGGCCAATAAAAGCTCGCGCTGGCGTGAAGTTTTCACAACAACAACGACCGCGCGTTAGAGCGATGGAAGAAGAGAAAAAAAAGCTCATAATAGCCCACTTATGATCGTTGTTTATACGGCCCGAGGATTCGCACAAGGGATTATCAGGTAAAGCGCTCTGTTCGAAGATTCCAAAGCCCATTGTTAGGGAGCTTATGGAGGTCCCGATGTTTATCCACTTCGCTTAATAAAACTTAATAAGCGCGCTTCGGAGTGGATTGTACAAATGCAAGTGTTCGAATTAATATATTATTGTATATACAGCGAATAAAAAACTGATTGTTACGCCACTGTGTACGATAAAACCCCCTTGAAAAGACATCATTAGTGCCATTGAGACAGCTTTTGCGGTGTGACGTGAGACTGTCACATACACAGCGCGCAAAAAGCTCCATTGTTCGGGGGGGGCTTTAAGAATAGTTTTACAGCGGTCAAATGCAGCATGTAAACAATGAGACAGAGGCGCCGATTAACCCCGGGGGGCCGATCCGTACCGGCTAACCCCTCTTAATCTCGTCGGGTAAACTAGTTATGTCCTTATTTCGTTAGGCGATTTCGTTTATTTCGGGTAAAAATCGGAGGATATCTCGTTTAACAATGCTACTACCTTCGATTACTTATACTAACAGTATTATAAAGTGTTGAAAATTCTCACCACACACAATTAAAATATTTATCCATCTAATTACGCGGATTTTATAACGAGAATAATGATGAGTATAACCATGTGCTTGTAGAAATAAATCCCTTTGCAGCTCGCTTCAAAAAAAAAAAATCTTTTAATAGTTTCTCGTGGACAAAAAGCTTTGCGATAGGAACTTTATTATGTTATCTGTATCTCTGCCAGATGTTATTATGTCAAAGTCAGCGGGAGGTGGTTCCCCGGAGGAGGAAAAGGGTGCCCCATTTGGACCGATCAAATCTGAAAATTACACCCCACGTCACCGGCAAAGTTTGTTGTATAATCCGGTGCGATTATCTAAACTGAAATCTCAGATTTTCCGCCGTTTACGAGGCGTTTATAGATATAGAAATGAGTTCGATCGGCGTTGGGAAAATGGAAAGAGTCGGAGAATTCGATAACCGTTTTTGGAAAAAGCAGAAATTCGTGTTAATATGCCTCAGCGTTAATCGAATAAAAACAATTACGGCTCTTAAGAGCGACAAATTAAAAGACGTTGATGAATTTTCGATCGAAAATCGGTTTTTCAATTCGTCTGTTCGTTTCGTCGAAAGTCAACGGAAATTGTACCCCGTGTCCTTAAATTTTTCGACGGAAAATTCTAATTTTTCGCGGAATTTCCTCCCGCCTATTCGCTGGAATGTCGTTCGCGGAAATGCCATTAGCGCCCTCTTATCGCTTAAATATATCGATACTTTTTGTTCCTCTTCATCTAATTTATTAATTTTCGTTCGGTAATGCAATCGAATGTGATGATGGAGAATCGAAAGAGAAGAAAAAAAAAAAAAAGGAAACGTATTAACGCGTTACAATGACGAAAAATAAGTTCATTAGAAACCGACGAATGTGCGAGGGCATAAAACAGAAATTACATTTGTCCCCGGGTCCCCTTTTTGCCGAGTCAATTAAGCTCATGCCCCCTCTATTACGAATTTTATTTGAATCATTCGAGTTTGGTAAACATCGATGATATATCATTTTTAAACAGTGGCGGTATTAACACTCTATATATACGAATTTTATTTAAATATAATATTCGCATTAGAATAGTATTAATATTAATTAATGAGTAGGTAGCTTTTATAATTCAAAATAAATATTTCTATATACCAATTAGAATAGGTATCTATAATGTGTTTGTTGTATTAAATAATAGATATTTGATATAAATTTGATACGACGCTGAGTGATTGTGTCGTCCTTAAACAGCATCAAAACACCACCCCGTGTCCTTTGAGGGAGGGTGGAAAGGACCCACATTATAAAGACATTTGTAGCGTTTTCACCCTGGGCAAGTTCGTAATGATTTTTTGAACACAATTAGGTTTGTTTCGTCGTTTTATTGAATCGGACATGGTAACATTTGTTGGGGGATGCAACGTGACTGACTTTTATTAGATTTTGTCCCGGTGAAATTTTTTTACATTGTTATTTCGAAAGTTGATATATACATGCGTATAATATGATGATAGAGGGTGAGGACCGTTTAGAGCTCGTTTCGCATTTGATTATATCGTGATTTAAAAACATTATTTCCTCTATACATATATGTATACTCATCCCTACAGGAGGTTCCTAATTGATTCGTCGATTTTAATTTTAATTGGTTTCTTTGAAAGATTCGAAATTAGTTTAACGAATTTTTCAATCTTATTTCATTGCCCCTAAACATGTGTTATAGTATTAGAGTTAAAGTTAAACACGCTGTTGAGACCTTTTATTATAACTTTTATTTAAAAACGAAAAACCTAGAACTCTTCGAACGTGTCATATGACATATGATATTGAAAAGTGAAATTAAAAAAAATATTTTGTATAATTTCTTACAATAATTCTTCTTCTAAAGTTTTCCAAAATTTTAATTTTCGATAAAACTTTTTAAATAGAATAAGTTATTCGAACTTAAAAAAAAGTATCACACCCAAACATTCATGAAGAAACTACAATTGTTTTTTTATTCAAATGCGGAAAATTGCATTACAGAAAATGCAAGATTATTAAGCCATCTATTGGTGAAGATCTCAAGTATTTCATAACAAGGTTAGTAGATATCTGTAATTGGTGTTTGTGCTTTTAAAGGTTTCTATAATTTTTATTGTTTGATGCAACAATTCGAATCGAGAGGGCGCTCACAACTTACCATTTTTAGTCCAGACTAGGACTAGATGGAGAGCGTTTTTGTAACGAAAAAAAAAATCAAGAAGATATTAGATATACAAACAATATTTATTTGAAATCAATATTTTTTGCATAATAAAATTAGTTACTTATTATTATTGTTCTCAGTATACAATTTATTAACATAATTATATTCTTCACAACTAATTGAATAACCCAAAACACAGAATACAATAAATGTACAGAATAAAATTACATAATCTTCAATACAATACTCCGATACGTCAAATTTCCAAGATTCATCATCTTTTCATCATCAAATATTATACAAAATACAAATTTTATTAGTATTCGAAATCATCTAACAATTGAAACAAGCACATTTCCAACAACCTCCAATTCCCCTAATACAAAGTCTAGATAATTACATAAGCAAAAATAATCTCTTATTCCAATGTGCAAATAAAGACACGTGTGTAAAATGCTACCCATCCTTTGTACAATAGATAATTTTTTTGTTCACCCTCACCAAACCGGGTATTCCCCGGATATATCCCGATCGTTAGCTTCGATGGAATTCCGTTCCACCAAACGTATTACATACAACTCTTTACAAATAATTTACTCTAAACGCTAAGTGTGTCTAATGATCAGATTCTCTTCTAAACCGTCCAATTTCCTCCTCAACAACAAGTGCTCCTCTCTGATGAGCTCCGCCAGGATCCTCATGGCTTTGTCGATTTGCTTCATCGAAGCTTTGCTGTAAGAGGCCCTCACGTAATTACAAGCCGCCGTCGGATCGGCCATGTAATTCTGACCCGGTATAAATGTGATGTGTTTTCGCAAACCGCGCGTCAACAGCATATCGTAGACGTCGGAGACTCCGAGGACTTTGAACCAAACGAACATCCCGCCGGATGGGACGTCCCATTCGCAGAGGCCCTTCAGGTGCTTCTCCATCGAGGCTATGGTGAAATCGCGGCGCACCCTGTAGAAAGCCGCTACCTTCTCGAAGTAGGACACCAGCCCGTTGATGCCCCATTTCCTGAACAGGTTCTCCATGATGACCTTTTTTTTTTTGGGGGGGAGGAAAATTTCGTGTATAGTGCAATTTTCGATAACCTTTTCGATGTTACTGCTGTTGCAATTTTAGTCGATAACAAACTAACAAAGCGAGATTAACTTGCATACATTGCAGCTTACAAAAAGTTTCTTAATAACCAAATTGTGTAAGAAATTTTGTTGTTAATCGCTAGACACCTAATCAACAAGAGGCAATAGAAAAAAAAACGCGATAGTAACCATCTTTTGCAATGTACTATCAGCAAAAAAACCGGTTAAAATAGAAACAATTTGTAACAACAAGAGTTACGCAATACTATCGTGCAATAAAACCGTTAAATATAAACCAAAAAGTACCTGCGAGAGCACGCTGGAGTGCAAGATAGAGCTGGAGATGTGTATTTCGATTTGCTCCACCAATTTCCTCGGTCCCGTCAGCCATCCCAGCCTCAAACCGGAGCTGAGCACCTTCGACATCGAATCCAATCTGATCACGCGACCTTCGGTGTCGATGCTCAGAAAACTATCGGGCTGTCGATCGAGGAAATGCAGAAAATAATACGCATCGTCCTCCAATATGATAATGTTGTATTCGCAACAGATTCGATAGATTTCGATCTTTCGATCGGTGGGCATCGTCGTACCAGATGGATTCGAAGCCGTCGGATTCAAGTACATGACTTTGGGCATCTTCCCTCCGCCTTCCTCCGTGTATTTCTTGCAATTCTCCAACGCCTCGACGAGTTTGCGGGGTTGTATACCGGACTCGTCTTGATCGATTCCGATCACGTTGACGTTCAAAGGTTTCACCTGGAAGTAACCAACAGCAAATAAAATTTGTTTGTAGGGGTTTTCCTTAACTTACAATAGCCGCCGTTCCGGCGTAGTAGGGATTCTGCACCAGCATGGTGTCGTTGTCGTCGAGGATCATCTCCAAGACGCGACTCATGCCGTCCTGGGAGCCGTTGGTGATGATGGTGTCGCATTTGTCCCAGGCGGGAGGGCGGTGCAGCCGGCGCGTGAACTCCTTGACTTGCTTGAGGAGAGGCGGGTAGCCCTGGCTGGGGATGTATTGCAAGGCGGCGGCCAGTTCTTGGCCTTTGATGGCGAATGTCTGGCCGTCTTTGAGGTTCACCGTGATGGATTCGAAGGGAAAGGTGATCTCGTTGGGGACGCCTTCGGCTAGCGAGATGTGGTCCTTGTGACCGCCGTATTGTCTCTTCGCTGGGAATTCGTATTTTTTTTGTATTAATATAATGTAGATAAACGAACCACGATGAATGTCAAGTATAGACGGTTTATCGCAATGTGCAACGATAATCGGGTATTTTAATTTAATTCTTATTGTAATAAAAAAGTGAATAATAGTTACAAACAATTTTCTTATCGTACCGGAACGGCGTGTGTGTATTTAAATATATACTGAAGAAGAAGGCGTCTTATTATTATTATCATCGTTTATTTGCTATTAGAAAATCGGAATTTTACTTTTGGCACGAACCCATTTTATTGGATGGAATTCATAAATTAAATGTCAATAAACTCGAGAGATTGCCGATGAGAAAGATTTATAGTTTGTGGAGCATCCTATCCAGAAAACTATTATTGCATCAATCGTTACTGATAATTAATTAATCACAATTAATTTGCTATAGAATTGAATCGATAATTCGATCTGATAATGATCTTTATTTTATTATTAGAGGGTGGAGATATTTCATTTTTTTTTACATTTAATCAGGCCTTTAATATATCTACTTATTATAATAAAATTTAAAGCCATTTAGATTGGTATATGATACAGGGTGTGCCAATTTAAAAAACACTAATCGAAGTAGATGGCTTACATTGTAGCATTGTTGCATCACATTATGACCTAATCAACCTAAAAGCTATTGTAAGAATATTAAATTTAAATTGCAGAAAACTGAATAAAATAATAAAGAATAAACGAAACTAATAAATTTTAAAAAAACTTACTTATTTCTCTGGTTAAAGCCGGTCGTCTTCTCGCCGATCTCGTGTTGATAAAATAACTATAATCGATTCCGGACATTGTCGAGATATTTTTGCAAGAAATACAAAGCAAATGGTAAAAAATAATATCGAAAATGATTTGAATAAAAGCGACCGGAGGTATTATATTGGTAGAGGCACAAAAAGATGTTAAAGAACGAATGAAGCGCCAGCTCGATCGGTCGTTGGTTTAAATAGCTTAGCTTTCGCGGGAACGCCGATGGATTTTGGATGATGTAATTTTTAGGCTTCAATGGTGATATCGATGGCTCCTCCCGTGCGAATTTTTAATGCAATAGATTCGATATAACGGTGTTTCTCGATTGCCTAAATTTTATGTCGAATTTATTCATGCAATTTTTTGGGTTTTTGACAATTTTTAAAGAGCTATTTCGGTGCATTTGAGATGTTTTTTGTTGGTTTTTAAATTAAAATTGACGGATCGGATTTATGGCTAATTTCGGTAATCATTATAGGTTCAAATTAACTGTTACTTTTTAATTTAATTTGCAATTTATAACATTTTTTTAGAAGTATATTTTATACAGATAGATACTTAATAACAAGATTATAGTGACAATTATGAGGAGAAATTTGGGATAATTTTATTGTACGGAAGTTTTTATTTACAACGAGCCATTTTCGTAATTAGAAAAAGGGTATTTTTCAAAAGATATAGGTTCAAACTTTATTTCCTAATTAACAGACCTTCAATAAACAAAGCTAATTAACAATGAATAACTAACAATAAATTTACAGGTAGTGAGTAAATTAATAAATTTGTAAATTTAATTTGCACACGTCAGTGTGTTTTCGTGAAAAATTTAGTAGATATTAGCCCAAAGTTTCCAATGTAGGTAAAAGAATCGCGTAATAACAGTAAATGTTATCAACATTTAAAATTTTATTTTTTTTTTAAAGAAACTATTGTGAAAGTCAAGGAAAATTGTTTATGACATAGAATATTTTTCCGGAAAGTTCAGATAACAGTATTTATTTTTAATGATCAAAAACTTTCACGTGTTTTAGCATTGAATAATTTTTGTTATTTTTTTATTAGATACTTTTTCCTGGAAAACGTTTATTCCTCAACGCCTTTAATACTTCCTGAATTTTAAATTACCAAAAATTAATTCTAACTTTTTAAACGTGTTAATTAATTCCTATAGTGGGAATTAATGTAATATCGGGAGTCTAATGTCCAAAATATTAGAATTTCGACCTTTTTTTGTTTAGATAAGAGAAATAAGTATAAATTGGTGGTGAAATTGAACCCTAAAAAAGCCAATACGGGAAAAAATAACTAAGAAATAATAATTAGAAATAGTATATTTTTCGATTGCAGAAAAAAAAATTGCGAATCGATTCAAAGAACCAAATTAATCAATAAATTCGACAATTTACTGATGCACCGCATCGATTCGCTATGTGAAGTGTGAAGTCTACGATTGAAATTACATCATCTTTTTTCGATTCGATTAAATTATGTAGTTAGAATGGTAAGTAAACAAATTCGGGGTAAATGCCTCGGAAGAGCAAGGTCGCTGAAAATTAGGTTAAAAATATAATAATAAAAAAATGCGTCGAAAAATTATTTTGTACGTTTTTGATTTGATTTTTTCTTTTTTTTTTTGGTAATGGGATGACAAGGAAATTTATCATGCGATTGAGGAAATATTATTTTATTTAGTAATACTAAGAATATTTCGGGGAATTAAAATGCATACGTAATTATGCATCGTACGTTTTTGTGATGCAAATCTATGGTAAACAAAAATTACATTTATCTATACTAGTTATTGTTTTGGAATTTCAATATTTTGCCGCATTCGAATGTTTAACAATTTATCAACAAATGAAGCAGTTAAAACTGGTTCTGTTGGGCAATATAATGAAACTAAATCGCCTTTATTAATTGATCAATTATTTTTGTATATCATTTTTGAAAAAAAAACACCACAAAATATAAATAGAACTATATTGAAATAATGACATGCACTTTTTTTTTGTTGATAAAGTGTAGTCATTGAGAAGTTGTAAAAATGATAGAAATAATAGAATAAAATTCCCTGTACAAGGATCATTAAATCAATAGGATTATAAACTGTACAAATTGAAGAAAAATTTCCACAAATAATAATATTTTTTGTATATGCTAAAAAAATAATGTATAGTAATTAAAATATCAAAAATGATTTTTGTGTCAGTCGGTACATTTCCAAAATGAATAAATTCGGTAGAATAAAATGAATAACATCACTTATTTGATATGCGATTGAATTACATCAACTTAGTTTTAGTGGAATATTTCCAAAAAAAAACCAAAATGATGTAAAAGTTTCGAGAAATTGGGAATTCGAAAATCACTTTAATATTTCAACAAGTTATTTACACGATATAAATTTGTTGCAATACCGGAAAAACCTTAATGTAGTTTGCGAATTTCACAATCAATAAATGATATAATTGGCAATTTCATTATTAAAATCTAATTATTAGTAGGTATCCATTCCTAAATCCTTATTCAAAAGCATTTCATATTTTCAATATTTTTTAGCAATCTTAATCTGATGAAAAAAAGTTTAAACAAAAGAATCAATCTGTAGAATAAAATTTAATCCATCAAATAAATTTTAATTGAATGTATGAACAATAATAAATTAAATTGTGTATAATAATACGTTAGGTTTTTGACCCCCGTTACAAGGAAGAAAATATTGACAAAAACCGAAAAACGAACCTTATTATTATTATTTGAAAAAATTTATTTTTTTTATGTATCGAGATATGTATATTAACATATTGTTTTTGACATTTTCTAATAATTATTCCATAAATTTTCATTCAGTCAATGTTGTTAAATGAGCATGTTGAAATCACATAAATAAAGTTCAGTGATTAAAATTATTATGAAAAATACAATACATTAAAATAACAATTGATTCGCTTGCGTCAATCTTTATCCAGAATACATATAAATAAAAGTAATTTTTGATAGATGGAAAAACATGTAAACATTTATGTATAAATTAAAACTGAATGAACTTTACTATTTTCTGTTGAAAAGTTGCACAGCAACTATATTATAATATTTAACTCAATTTTATTAATCTTATCAATGGCATTCTAATTTTATTTCTCTTCTATGTTACATATTCCTATTAATTTCAACTCGATATTGAAACTTTGTAGTTTTTTGCATGTTATATTGTTATTTTCTTGTTTTGTCGGAAAAATTGCGCATTTTGTACACAAACAAAAGTATTTTTGTACTAAATTGGACTCAATTAGAGACACACTGCTCCTAATAACAAGTTTGAAATTATTGGAAAACTGGAAAAAAAATAATTACTGAAACAACAAATTATTTCGAAAAATGATAGCGAATCATACTTACATGTTTATGCGTAAGTATAATTGAAAGAGTAATTTTTACCTTAAAAATTGATTGTTAAGGTAATTTACACAAAATTTTAACGAATATGCTTTAATTTTTTTTTAGAATTTCTAATTTTTTTCATAAAAGATAACACTACTTAATTATTGTTAATTTTGTCAGTTTGTATTATAGAATGTGTAATGTTCTCAAAAATTTTCCTAGTAATTTCATAAATTTTATTATCAGGTGTACTTAGTTTAAATAATTAAAAAAGGTTCAACAAATATATATTTATTTTATAATAGTTTCCTTATTTCCTGACCACGTTAACATTAATCCGGAATGTATACTAACCTCTTATTTCAAGGCTATTTATGGTGTTTTATCAATGCATGGGAATGAATAAAAAGTAAATTTGCGATTACAATTGTAATTCTTACGCATGAATTATTTGAAGTTCACGATATTTGTAACCCCCTCGAGATAATACACTACATGTGAATACACGTTTCTTTTTTCCTGCCTATGCGAAGTAGAATCGGATTTTTTTGCAAGTTAGAACTATTTAGAATTATTTATCTCCTTGTGAGATTTCTGAAATATCTTGGAAGTTCAGAAAACACTCTTGTATAAGGTATATTACATTGTAGGATTGCCGAATAGGAATTTTCATAAAAAATACTAGATTTTAAATTTATTCTTCTAGTTTCTGAATTTATTCTTCTTTTTTTATCATCACAATTTGGTCTTCGCCTAATTTATACAACATACATCTTCACGCTACGACCTACGAAATAAACGAACTACAGAAACTGTCAACTGTCACTGGCCGAATAGCACTGATAGCTGAGGCCAAATTCTTCTTTTTTATCACTAGATCTTGGTCTTTGCCTACTTTATACAACAAACAGTCACGTTACGACCTACGAAATAAATGAACTACTGAAACTGTCAATTGTCACTAGTGTCATTAGTCACTAGCCGAATAGCTGAGGCCCAAACCCCAAATCCGAATAAGAAGAATTATTAGTCAATATGTCAACAAACGTCGATGTTTTATCACCGATAAAATAAATTTAATTAATTTATATATAATTTAGAATTACAAAGCGATGGATTATCTAAAAACCGGATATCAATACCTTTAGTTTTTTTTTTCAGATTGCGAATGAATAATCAGCGCTGCATTCAAAATGGGAGAGAAAGTCGATCCTATTCTGTACGTTTTGGTAATCGGATTCCATCATAAAAGGGGTTGTCAGGTGGGGTAAACAAACCAATTTTCACCACCCAAATTGACCAGCCATTATTTATTCCAGGTGGAATATTCGTTCCCCGAACTGGTCCCGGGCCATCCCAACGAATGCCCCGCCGGTTGGAAGTATTTACCGACATTAGCACTACCCGACGGGTCCCACAATTACGACGAGGACACCGTTTATTTCCATTTGCCCAGCCTCACCAAACCCGTACGAACCATCTACGGTATATCCTGTTTCCGTCAGATACCCGTGGAAGTAAGCGCGCCCACAAACTCGCCAAAATCCACCGACTAAACGACTTTAATCCTCTTTTTAGAAGATAAAAAACAAAACCTCCGACATCACCAGAGGTACCGTACAAAAATCGGTGTGCGTACTGAGCAAAGTACCGCTCTTCGGGCAAATACAAGTCAAGATGTGCCTGATAACGCACGCCTACTTCGACGAAGGCGATTTCAGCCAAGTATCGATTTTAGAAGATACTTATTATCATTTGAACGCCGTCATGACGCAAAGCGATTCCATACAACAACCTTTCATTGGTAAAATAATCTCTATCGATCGTATTATCGCAATTAATAGGTTTTTTTATAGGTTTATCGGCTAGAGATTTCATCTTGCATTGGAAACACAAAGCCGTATTGCTATTCAAATTGATGCTTTTAGAGAAACGGGTGATTTTTTACAAGTCTCCTGTACACCCGTTGTGCTCGACGATACTCACCCTCGTATCGTTATTTCCCGATATGATAGAAAACGGTCTTCACAACTCGGCTTGCATTCGGTACGAAACTCCCTTAGAAACCCCAAAAACAATACACAAACCTATATTCCAGATTATCCAGACCGATGTCCCCGATGCCGGAATACTCCGACGAGGATTCCAGCCCCATCAAAATCAACAACATGAAGAACACAAACGAAACCGACGACGGTATTACGATACGAGTAAAAATCGCCGAAGAGAATCCATCGCAGGAGATCGGAGCTGGTGATAATCGAACGTCGAGCAACGGGAACCTCGAAAAGAACGAAGTCGGATTGGAACTGGCCAAATTTTGCACCGACGAAGAACTAAACGGAGACGACAGGCCTTGTTTGCAGAGGGAAATCAGCTCGGACACGATCTCGGACGTTACTCACAACAATCTCTCGTATCTCATCCAATTGGGCACCGAGAGTTGCGGCTTCCCCTTGCAAATTTTCACCAAAGGATCCCTCTGCTTGCCCTACTTATCATTGCCCTATCTGGATTTATTAGCCGACGTTAACGTGAGAAGTTACCTAGTAGGCGCTACGAACGTTCTCTTCAAACAAAAACGACAGCTCTACGATATTCTGGTCGACATCGATGGGAATCGCATAGAATGCCAAGATATGAATTTGAGGAAATACTTGCATTTAACCACCGAAGATCTCAGGTAAATAACTATTGTCGCTTTGATGTACAGGGTGTTTTTTCCAGCGAGTACTAATTATATACTTTTCCAAGATTCGCCGATTACCTAGTGAAGCGAGTATCGGAAGAAAAACACGATGTATTCCTCGATGGAGTTGGATGGGAAGGCGGAGACGAATGGATCCGCACACAATTCAGGATCTACCTGTTGTGCTTACTGAGAACTTCCATGTTACAAGGTCTACAAAAGTCTACCTAAAACCGTACGAATCTAATGTGTGTTTGTGTGTTGTAGACGGTTCGAGGGAAATCGATCACTTCAATTCGAGCTTCGTGAGCTGCTGGAGGGACTCGCACAACTACAAAATCTGGCTGAGCGGAGTCAATCCGGGCATATTGGATGTTCATCCGGGCCATCCGTTCGCCGGGCAATTGTCAGTAGCCGATATGAAATTACGTTTTGCGCAGTGAGTATGAATTGAAACGCGTTAAAAATCGAATTATCTTGCTCGTTATTAGCACGATGCAAAACACGGAGAGCGGTAGGAAAATCAACCAAGCCATGGCCACCACCGGTAAGGCCGTTGTGACTACGGGAAAGGCCGTAGGTGAGATAAAATACCGTTAAATTGATCCTAATATCGATTATCTTAATGTTTGTGTGTTGTTAGGTGGAGCGATATCGCAAGCGAAGGGGGCGCTGTCGTCGTGGTGGAGCAATTTTTTGGTGAATCCCCCCGAGCATGGGGAAAAAACGGCCGAAACGCGGCAGGATTGCCAAAACGATTCGACCGATGGTATAACGAACGTTCCGGCGATTGTTAATAATAGCGATAAAGAAAATAACGAGATCGACGATGTGCAATCAAACGATGTGTCCAAATTATACGATAATGATGATAAACACAATCCGGGCGAAGTGCATACGGTTTAAATTTTAGCGAACAATTTGAACAAATTTTTTTGTATACTGCGGTAGTTCATTTCGAGTGTACTTTACATTATTAAGTTTTCTTAGTAGATAAAATCGTATAAGAAAACTGAATGTATGATACACATTTATGTGATATTTTTTTATAGTTCTTATAGGTATAAAATTTGCTTTAAGATTTTAAGTAGAATTTATAATTTATTTACGAAAGAAACACAAAAATTAGGGCAGTTAGTTTTAATACTCCTTTTACGTTTCATTTTTTCGTCGTGTGCAATATTTTTGTTACGTTTTTGATTTTAATATAAACGTTATCTCGTATTTAGTGCATTTATTTATCAAAGCCTTCCGATGTTTTATATGGTAAAATAAACACACCGTCCAAAGATAATCGTATTTGCATTACCTTATACCGGCGCAAAGACGTGATTACGCACATCTTTTATCAGTACAGGAAACTCGGTTTCCTCGTTTCGACGCCCCGGAATTTATTTATTCATTCGAGTAAAAGCGCATCGAGAAGACAAAATGGACGACGATCAGGAAGAAATCCAAAGACCCACTTGCGAGATTTTGTTCCGACAATCATCGGTCGAAACGCGATTAACCCCCGTACGTTTATCCGAAGAAGAAGATGATGATGATGAAGATGAACGCGATCAGCTGCCAAAAATAGTGGGGTTCAAAAAGAAACCGATAATTTGCGATGTATCCGACACAAACGTCGATAAACCTAATGAAGAAACGACGAATACTAAACGGACCGATTTACGGGGATTCCAAGACGAATTGAAAGCGAAAATCGAACTTAGAATGTCCAAAGGACCGGCGGTGCCTCAAAGAGTAAGCAGCACTTTGAGCGTTAAACGAGACCCGGAAAAAATCGAGAGTGCGAGCGAAGAAAATCAGGAATATTCAGTCGGTACTTTAAAAGGTAAGTAAATCATTAATAATTACATATACGGAACCGTAACAGTAGACACAATTATTTCGAAACGCACTTCGTCTTTAAATTTACGGTACCGTAATCTTAGACACGACCATTTCGATCCATAAACACCCATCTATTTATACATCAATATAGCCTTGAAAAAAAAACTGCACTCGCCCATCGACAAGGACCAAGACAACACAGTAGGCGGACCCAGCAAGGAAGAAATGGCTACTCTACGACCGAAATCCCCTCGGCCAGTGCCCGTTAAAGGGGAAAAAGAAGAAACCATATGGGACAAAATTGGAACGTTGGGTCGCAAAAAACGCATCAAAGAGGGTAAGCGATTCAAAACAATCATCAACAGTTTAAATGGAACACTTCCTTATATGGCGGTGATTGTTTACACACACCTAAATAGACCAAGGCGATTGGTTCGATTTCTTAATAGTTTAATTTACACGATATACCCCTAACATTGAACAAAAAAAGGGGCCATTAAACTAATCGTCAATTAAAAAAAATGTATAAAAATTGACATTAATTAATCTGTCACCTGTCATTTTAATGTTTTTAATTTATTTTTAAATCAGTTCAAGATGTCCAAGCCGAAGGAAAATACGCAATCGATTCACCGGGTTGTCCTGCGGCTCCCATCATCCCACCTGAAGACTACAATTTAGGCAAATACCACCGATACCTCCCTCGTAATAAATCAAAACTATTACCAATTTTAAATTTTAGAGGACAACGAAGAACGGTGCATGATAGAGCGTCGGGCCTACGACGATTCCAAATTCCTCGATTTGCTCTACGTACTCAAAGAATGGATAAACGACGAACTGGCCTCGCAACGTATCATCGTACAGGACCTCTCCGAGGATTTGTACGACGGGCAAGTCCTGCAAAAGCTCCTCGAAAAGCTCACCGGCGACAAACTCGACGTCCCCGAAGTGACCCAATCGGAGGAGGGCCAGAAGCAGAAACTCACCGTCGTCCTGGATCATTTTAACAAGGTTATTTGTAATACATAATGGAATAAACGAATAATCCGATTGTATTTCGTAGGTGTTGGGTATCCAAAGACAAGCGCACAACAAATGGAACGTGGAATCGATACATTCGAAGAACATCGTCGCCATAACCCATCTATTGGTGGCGTTAGCGAGGCATTTTAGACCGCCGGTGAGGCTTCCCGAGCACGTTTCCGTCGAAGTGATGGTCGTGCAAAAAACCAACGGGAAATTGTTCCACAAAACCGTCAGAGAAAGCCTAACGAAGGCCTACGATGACGTGGGCATGCGGTGCGAACGAGACGCCTTCGATACGCTGTTCGATCACGCCCCCGATAAGCTACAAGTCGTTAAAAAGGTGCTTCTTACGACCTAATATGTTGGCTGAATAACCTATTAATTCCATCGTTTTAGTCGTTGGTGACGTTCGTCAACAAGCATTTGAACAAAATGAACTTCGAAGTGACCGAAATCGAAAGTCAATTCCACGATGGGGTTTATCTGATAATGTTAATGGGATTACTGGAAGGATTCTTCGTGCCCCATTACAGTTTTCATTTGACGCCGCACGAATTCGAGCAGAAAGTTCACAATGTTAATTTCGCGTTCGAATTAATGGAGGAAACCGGTTTACAAAAGCCCAAGGCTAGACCTGAAGGTACAATTTCTAATAAATTTAATATTGTTTCCGAATTAATCTTTATTGTTTTAGATGTGGTGAATATGGATCTGAAATCTACGTTAAGAGTACTGTATAATCTCTTCTTACAATACAGAACAATTATGTAAAAGTGCCTTTTTTTAATATTAATGTAAATAATATTTATTAATTATTTTTATAGTGAGTCTTAAACCAAATTAATATCAATTTTGTATGCTAATATCGTATATGTACTTATAGAAAAAAATATATATAACTTTGATACTAAAACAATAAACTGTTATTCATTCACGACGAATTTATTATTACCGTAATAATCTACAACTTTCTTCAATATCGCACTTTTTTCCCCGTTACTGATAAAATTGGGGTAATACAAATCGTGCAGGCTTTGATATCTACTTAAATAAATTCGTGGAGGTTCATAAGCGGCTACAATGACAAATACCGGTTTTTTGTTCTTTTTAGAGCAAACCGAAGCCCCATCGAACAGCGAACTAGTAACGATAGCAGGTAAAAGGGGATCAAAAGTATCCCCGTACAATTTCGTGTAAACATCGAAACCGGACATTAACACTACCGTAGGCACTTTGTGCCACAAATGTATCGCGTTTAAATGGTTTATTAGCGATTTATAATCTTGAAGGTACCTGTAATAACGTTGTGATCAAAACAAAACGAAAATGGAATATAAAAATCGTACTTACACGAATGTTATCGACTGCAATATTTCTTTATCCGGAGAACGGATGTCTTCGGGTATCGACTCGAAGACTTTGGGGGATATAAACCACACGCTGTGTCCTTGTTCGGCGAAGTAAATTGCTAACTGACGAAAAATAATAGGATTCATTTTTTTACATCTAACTAGCGATTAACTCACCTTGAATAAAATATAATCTGGATGTTTACTCAAAAAGAGTGTCGGATACAAGTTAGGAGGAATCATTATTAATAAAAGAAATAAATTAAAAACGAAAAACGAATTGTGTACACCAAAATTGAGATTTTTAAAATGACATTTAAACTGTCAATTCTACTACTTCTTCTTCTCTGTTACATGGCCTCTACTACTTAGTAGGCAAGTGTGGTTTAAACTACTAAGGCTATCCAGTATTTTTAAATCATTTAGAAAAAAGAAGAGAAGTAGAATTTTATAGGTTATGTTTTCTGTCAAAATCTCGAATAATGTTCGATAACTGTTTTAAAACATGAAAAATGAAATGTTTACATATAAATATAAGAAAAGCAACGTTTATTCTGATCACTGTGTTAATAAATCAAACATACATGGGTAAATTTACGATTTAAACTTACATTAAACTCTTACATCTCTATCACTTTTTCAGAAGACTTAGCTCGTTCTTCCGCACAGAATAAAAGAATTGATTATATATCTAGCGCATTACCTAAAACAGTAAGTAAAATTACAATATCTACATCAAACTAAATCGTATTTATTATATTTTAGAACGATTTAATCCTCAATTGCCCCTCGAACAATGACTGCGATAAGTTAAACGCCACTTGCATAAGCTGCAATTTAAACGAAGACTGCATTTACGGAACAACAGTTAACACGATGTGTCAACCAGAGAAGGGAGTCGATTGTAACGTAAGTTATTTTTATTCAAAAATACGATGTATTGTCACAATTCCGATGTTCGATAGGGCGCAAAATCCTTTCCCAAACAGTACACCTGCAGGTATTGCTACCAAACGGAACAATGGGAACATTCCTGCGAATTAATGGCGAATTGCAATTCCGTGGCTTCCCCTAGGTCTTATTATATCACGAATTGCACCGTTCGAGATGATGTTATATGTTTAGGTAAGTCATTCTTCTATTCTTGAATAATTCTCACGTAGTTCATTCTTTTTAGGATTAAGAACTTTTAAAAAGAAACTAGTTTGTAACTGGACCAGCGGCTACAAATGGTCGACCACGTTGGCTCTGAGCATAATTTTAGGTGGCTTCGGTGCTGATCGGTTCTACTTGGGCCACTGGCAGGAGGGCATCGGGAAATTGCTGAGTTTCGGTGGACTCGGTGTTTGGACTATTATCGACGTTATTTTAATATCTTTGCATTATTTAGGACCCGCCGACGGCTCTTTATTTATTTAATTACTTAGGTTAAAGTTAAGTCTTAAACATTTGTGTTGTAATCGTATCGAAGTAACAGCTGAAATTAATGGAATTTTAATGAACGTTTATTAGTTATTCAAATACATTTTTAACCATAAAATAAGCAGTAAAATGAAACAAAATTAGCTAGTGTCTACATACGTAAGAGTACTCATGTCAAAGTAGACTGTCATTAGTACGTCAATGTCAATTCCCGGTTTGGCCGAATAGCCCTAGCAGCTGAGGACAAGAATTTAAGAAGAAGTTCCCCAGTTACCACTTGATGCTTTCTATTTATTCAAATTTTTGTTGCAGTTTATTACAGTTTGTGTGAATAATGACTAACAGAACCGATTACCGGTGTTATAATAGTTTCCTTACGTTAAAACTCATGTGACGATGATTCAGTTGAGTAAATTTCCACTATTTTCAACCGTACTCAAAACATACGAACAAGCTAGAAGATACAAGAGAGTTTTGGGTGATAAAGTGCGGGAACTGGATGAAACTACCCTAACAGGCCGCCTATTGGCCTATGTAAGTCATCCTACGGAACAAATAAATGCACCAAAACGTTCCGAAAGTAAGATAGAACGGATTAAAAAATCAATCGAAAGCTTGGATACCGGTGGAAAAGCTTCGAAGCATCATTTCTTGCAAACAGTAGACGAACAATGCACGAGAGAATTGAAGCAAATGAGCACCCTTTGCATCTTCGACGTTCTTCACGCGCTTACGAAGAAAATTCCTAATAGGATAACGGAGAGCGAGTTTTACGAGCGCTCGCTGCAGGAACTGGCCGCACGATTGCCCTACCTCAGCAAAAACGAAGTCATCCAGTACATCTTCTATATGGGCTTGAAGAAGAAGAACAACAGCAACAATCAAATATTGAAGAAATGCTTAAACAAACTGAGCAAATCCGGTTTGAGTACACTAACCGCAGAAGATTTATGCGTCATTTGCAATTCCACATTTAAAACTACCACTAAAATAAACGATCAATTCCTATCTACAGTCATTGCGTATATTCAAAACAACTTGCATCTCTTCAAAGATCCAGCTCTGCTCGTTACATATTTAAAAAGCATTCGACAGAATAGGTACCAAAACGAGGAATTTCTATCGACAATATCCTACACGATACTGTTCAACAAAACCGCAGAACACTACTCGTTTTCTGCCTTGTGTCACATACTGGCCCTTTACTCGGACTATTTGTACTACGATGAGAACGTTCTGAGGCATTTCTGCGAAAAGAGCATCGACATTTTGAGGCATTCGAGTTACACGACCAAAACCGAGCACATGTCGATCCAATCGAGACTGAAGGATATCAAGAGACTGTTGTGGTGCCTGAGCAACCTAAATTACACTAAATTACCAGCGAGTGATATAAAAGATGTGATAATTCCCAGTATTGTACAAAGAGTCGAAGCCGGTGATGTGGAAGAGAATTATACGAGTTTAATCGAAATTGCGCTGTACTTGTGGATGTTGAATTACAAGTCTCACGAACTCATGCCGTATTTTCTAAGGAAAACTGTTATACAGCCACTGCTAAGTAAGCTTATCGTTTATTTAATTCAAATGAATTTATCGATTCATTTTAGGTACAAACAGCCCGATCAAACAACGGTTAAACTTGTTATTAACTTGCTTGTTTTACGAAGATAAAACGCTTTTAAAGGAATCCGGGGTTTACCCGAAATTCAATTCGGATTACGATATGATGAATCAATTAAAAAAACGACCGGCGTTAAAGAAAGTCATGGACAATCTCGCGGTTATTTCGAAGAGACACGATTTAAATAAATTCCAAATGAATTGCCAGATACCCGGTTTAAATATAATCGGTATAACCGGTTACAAAAAGAAAATTTACAAAACCGCGTACCTAGAAATCCTCGATGAATACACCACGTTAAAGAACACCGATAATTCCCCGACGGGACCGATGCAACTCAAATTGAGACTGTTGGAACGAATGGACGAGGCCGTTATTCTGGTAAGCCCTAATTTATCACGATACATTTCTCGAAATCTTTCATTTATCTTCTTTTAAAGATCGACTCGAACGAAATAGAGGGCATGAGCGATAAAGACGTTCAAAGGGTGTTACTGGAAGAAATCGAGTTTGTTTGTTGATTAATTTTAAAAAGTACAAATTAAAGACTTAAATCATTTTTATTCAACTAGTCAAAAATTCGTAATAAAATAACTATCTTTACTTTTAATAACAAATTCTTATAGTTAATTGAACTTAAAACGTATTATTACATGAAAGAAAAACCAAAAAGTATTTAAACATATTAAAAGAAGAATTATAAGATTCCATCAGAATATCGCAATTTATTCATTATTTTTTCGGTATAACAGGTCGCTTGGCCCCCATTTGAATCCAATCCAAAATCCCCGCAACCCTTTGGGGCGTTTCCTCTTTTATACAACCCGTCGCCTCCAAATCCGGTAAATTCTGAAAACACAAATTACCTAAGCATACAAACGACATATTTCTTAAATACTAACAATTCTATTTTGAGCGCCGAATGCCGCTTGTCTCGTGGCAGCGATCTCATTTCTCCTAGCCTCTTCCATCTCCTTTCTCCTCCTTACATCGTCGATTCTCTTTCGCTCCTCCAATCTGAACTGTCTCCTCTGCGCGGCCGAGGCCACGTCTTTGCGTCGAATGATCTCGTTGTCTCTGCAATACTTCTCGGGATCGTACGAGGCTACGTTTTCCTAAAAAAATCCCTCTTTAGCCACGTTACTCGTGCGATTCGCATCGACTTACGTTATCCCAGCATTCCTCCGTCGGTACGTTGTGGTTGATGATGGGGAACTTGTTCAAGTCGACTTGGTCGTCTTTGACGACGGCTATTTCCAGTTTCCTTCTGTCAGGGCATATCTGATGGTGGTACTGGGAAAAACGAAAACTTTCTTTTTTTAGAAGCGATTCGAGTGGAAATTAAAGCGGTTTACCTGGAGTTCGGATTCCGGGATCCTGTGATTGAAATTGAAATCGCATTCGACCAGAGTCGTTTCGGGATGGTTCCTTTTGCATTTCGTCAAATGGCAGTTCATCCATTTTCTTCTTATCATATGGGACTTGTCGTAAGGACATTGAATCTCTTCCTCGGGGCTATGAAATGCATTTAAAAGGTAAGTTTTTGTTACTATTACTAAAATTTATCAAAAATATTGCTTACTTGATGTAAATTTCCATATTGAAGGCGATAAAGTGTAACACGCAAAAACTTTCAACGGAAAATGTCGAATAAACAAAATTTCTTTTTCTTCGTATATTCTTGGCCTCAGCTGTCAGGGCTATTTGGCCTAAACAAAATTTTGACATATGACATGACAAGAATGACAGTGAGTTTATTTATTGAGCAACCTCTCTCTATTCTTGTATACAGTTCCACTTAATGTAAATGAACTAAAAAGAAGATGATGTGAGGTTATGTCATAAAATGTTAAAATTGTTTTATATAAACTAAACAAAACTTAATTAATCCATTAACTTTTTACTATGGATTATACAGCAATGATGAAATTAAGTTAGCAATAAACTCGGGTGAGCGAGAAGATTTCAAATGTTTCGTCGAAAAACAATCTTGATAATCGGCGTAATATTTTCGATTGGATTTTTGTTGTCTACGAACTATCTGAATTTCGAATTGCCCAAAGGAAGCGACAGGAAAATCGTCGACGAAATTATTTACGAAGAACTGAACAAATTGCCGAAATTCTACAAATTAAGTCCCAAGAATGCGAACGTCGAAGTGGAAGGTTTCTTCAAGAATTTGAGCACGAGCGCGAAATATCCTTACAAAAATCTAAGACATCTGTGGCAAACAGCCAATTCGTGGACGAATAAGGATAGGCTAGTGGATATTCGTAGTCCCTATTTAAACGATGTCGTTACGTCTATGAAATACGCGAAGATAACGGGGGCCGATTTGGACCATCGAGGAACACAACTCAAGCTAATCCTCACGCTAGAGGTAAAAGTCATACACAATTCTCTTCATATTCTTACTAAGTATATTTCCAGGGTAACCAACAAGTCATTTTCAAACCAAAATGGTACGATATACGCAAAGTCCTGGAAGGACCGGTGTACGTGGGAAAAGACCGCTTCAACTCCGAAATAATAGCCTTCTATCTATCTCTCATGCTAAAAAAACCCCTGTGCCCCGTAAGCACCACTCGAGAAATATCCCTTCAGAACGATATCCTACCGGTAGCGTCTAAAAGACTGTTAGAAACCGTGCTAGTGAGAAACAACAGGACTTGCGTGTACGGGAAATGTTTCTTTTGCAATCGCAACGATCCGATATGTGATAACGAAAACGCCCGCCTAGAGGGCGCTGTAATATTCAATTTCAAAGCCAACTTGGTGAATCATCGATCTCCTTGGCAACGTACTTACAAAAAAGACAAAAATGCTCTCTGGCAAGAATACACCGAGACTTATTGCGAGTGAGTAAACGTTTAAAATACAATTCGCGCGTATATAAGTAGCATTTTGCAGCGTCATCAAAGCGAAATTATCGAAGAGACGATTGTACGACTTAGTCGAAGTGTCCATATTCGATTTTCTAATGCAGAACGGAGACAGGCACCATTACGAGACCATCGAGGACAACGTACTGTGGCTGGATAACGGTAAAGGACTAGGCAATCCTTACAAACACCACTTGGACATTTTGGCGCCTTTGTATCAATGTTGCATGTAAGGCCTCTTCAACAATTCTACACCAGTCAAATTATTATTACTATTATTATTTAAGGTTGAGAAAAACAATGTACGACAATTTATTGAAGTTAAGAGGCGGAGGACTGTTGGAACTTTTAAATGGTATACCCGACGTTGAAAGACTGATAACGAACGAGCATCTGAAAGCGATCGATGAGCGACTTCTCTTAGTATTCGCTACCATCGAATATTGCAAGAAAGGTAAGAAATCTAATTTCAATAAAGCGCAATCTTTCTAAAAAGTATAAACTGCGAATACACTGTGAAATACCCAAAAATCATGTGTATGGAAGGTTCCTTTGGGTTCCCCTTATACCACTACAAATCTACCCTATCTGTATTTAGTAATTTACCCGTGTAAACCTAGGTTTAGTCGTTTATCTAACATTACCCAATCAATCGTTGTATTTACAACATAGCTTCGCAATTTCGAAGCTATCAAAAAAAAAACTTCAACGATTGACAATCGCCCAGTCAAATCGAAAAATGAACCGAACCGTCGGCTTCCTGATAACCTACTACAAAATTCTCATCACCCTACTCACGCCGTTCGTGTGCCTGCCGATATTCCTCGTGCACGACACCAAAGCCACGCGATGCATGTACAGCTTCGCCCTGATGGTGATCTATTGGATCACCGAATCCATCCCGCCGGCGCTCACGTCGCTCACCACCATGGTGTTGTTCCCGCTATTGGGCGTCCTCAATTCCGACAAAGTCGCCAAGAACTTCATGAACGACACCAACATGATGCTGTTGGGCAGCATCGCCATCGCCATAGCGATGGAGAACACCGGCCTGCACGTTCGCATCGCCCTCTACGTGATCAAGTGCATCGGTTGCAGTTGCAAGAAGTTGCACATCGGCCTGTGCATGGTCACCATGTTCATATCGATGTGGATAGCCAACACGGCCGCCACCGCTCTCATGATACCCATCGTCGAAGGTACTTTGGTGGCGTTGCAAACGCAAGGTTTGATTAAGATGTTCAAAGAGGATCCGACGAAGCCGCCGGAGGATTGGCGTCCGTCGAACATCACCAAATGCTATTACATATCGGCGGCGTATTGTTCCACCATAGGCGGGTCCGGTTGCATTATCGGATCCGGTGCTAATCTCGCTTTTAAAGGTTTGTACGAGGTGATGTTTCCGGACAGTCCCGGCGTGGAGTTCTCCAAATGGATGATGCACAACACGCCGCTGATGCTCGTCAACAACATCGCTATGATTCTGTGGTTGCAAATACTATTTTTGGGTCTGTTTCGACCGTTTTCGAAGACCGCCAAAGAATTGTCGGCCGGCGACGAAGCGATCGCCGCCACCAAGCAGGTAATCAACAACAAAATCGACGAATTGGGTCCGTTGAAGTTCGGCGAGATCGCCGTGGCGATCATCTTCGTCGGTTCGATTATATTGTGGTTCTTCCGGAGGCCGGGTTTCATGCCCGGCTGGCCCGAATACATCAGCGACGTGAAATGCGGCGACGCCGTCGTCGCCATCGTGGCGTTCACGTTGTTCTTTCTGGTCCCCATCGAGCCGAGTTTCGTGTGGTTCTTCGGCAACGACGAATCGAAGGTGCCCGATGAGGCGTCGAAGGGCATCCTGACTTGGAAGTATTTCAACGCGAAGATGCATTGGAACATGATCTTCGTGTTGGGCGGCGGTTTCGCGATGGCCGACGCGGCCAAAGAGAGCGGCATGACGTCGTTGATAGCGGATTATCTGCAGGATTACATGAGTTCGAGCGCTTTCTTGAATCTGGTGGTGTTTTGCAGCATCGGCACGTTTATGACGCAGTTTCTGTCGAGCAACGTGGCTTGCATCACCATCATGGTGCCTATCATATTGGAGGCCTGTTCGATGGCCGAGATACATCCGATGTATTTGGGTTTTTCGAACGCCGTCGCCTGTTCGTTCGCGTATTTCCTGCCGGTTTCGACGCCGCCGAACGCTTTGGTGGCGGGTCCGGCGCGGATGAACGGCGCCGATATGATGGTGGCCGGTTTGGGCGCCATCGCCATTAGCTTGACGTTGCTGGTGTTTATATTTCCCGTGTACGCGCCGCTCGTTTGGGATTTTAATTTCCCCGAATGGGCGGCTATAAAGAACGTCACGGAGCCGGAGTTTTAGGCATTTTTTCTATAATTACCTAATTACCTATTTGTCTAGTGTGTATTGAATAAATTTTTTTTAAAAAAAAAAACGGAAACTTTATTGCCGTGTATCGGTTGTTTTGCTATTTTATTTTATTTTTTCGTATCGATATGGTATAATATGACATTGTGATCATGTAAGTATATGGCGTGATAACGTTTTGATAATATTTAAGTAAGTTTCGACACGGCGAGTTTCGAGATAATTTAATTATTTTGTCTAAGAGATAAAATTTTTAAATGGCGCTCTCGGACGTCGAATTTTGTACTCGATTCCTCGTCCGTTTAACTTGCAATATTTCTTCGGGTATTTTTAATGAAATTTTTGAACTTTCGTGCGATATTGATGGCCGATAATGCGGGGTTTATGTTGCACCTTTGACCCTTCGAGTGCAATAATTTAATGGATGTAATATGGGGGATTATTATTCAATATAATATTGTTAAAGTGTTAAAATATTTAATTTATTTACAAAAAAAAACATTCAATTCAATATAAATTCATAGCAAAGTTAATTTTAAGTAGGTATCTAAATTGAATTAAATTTCACAATTTCTATTTGTTTCCTATATTAATTTTACACCGATTAATGGAAAATTCTGAAACCAGCACTTGATATATCGCGAATTGGACTATGAATTTACATTTAATTCATTCGAAAACAAACTCACAACAACGATCTACGTCGCTATTTGTTTACACGTAATAAGCAATAAAGAAAATTTATTTTAACGTACCTATATCACATTTCATAAAAATATTAATATAATATTTTTTTAATCTACATTCAATAATAGTTAATTGCGCATTTAAATGACGATTAGATGAATATCTTGCGAGTAAAAGACGAGTTTTTTCGTCTTTGCTCGAAAGATTGATTGCCATTGAGATTTCTAGTTTTATCTTGATATTTTTCTATTTAATATTACAAGTGGTCTAGCATATAAATTATGTAGTATTGACCAAGAACCAGCTTGGATTTCCTACGCTTATATTGTACAATAACTCTTAAAATAAAATCTGTAACAAACTACTTTATTTACCCAAAGAAAGCATAATGGAAAATAACGAATTTCTTCTCAGGTATCATAAGAGTGTATTGAGAAACATGCTATTATCAATTTGACAAAAATAACTTTACCAGTGACCTTGTCGTGGGTAGTGACAAAGTCCAAAAAATTCATTGATGTTACAGGTCTCGTTAAAAATAATTACCCCTTTGAACAATTTAAAATTTTTCAAGATTAATTGAAAGACTTCCCAACGGTTTTATTCGTAGGATACACTTTTTTTCCTGTATCTCTTCAATATGGATACAACAGATACCTATTCAAATATCGCTTGTCATCAATGTTAAGGTAACGATTAATAAAGTAGCCAATTACAGATAAATCAATTACACACAGATAAACGATTATCGAGATATTTTTTTTGATTGAAAATTAAATAAATACGAAATTATCTAACGTAGAAATTTGCTTAGAAAACATTCAAAAAAAGTCTAATGGACCACCGTGATCGAGCACCCCGTACATAAACCAGTTCGACACGTTTCATTTAAACGCCCGATAACCTTTAACAACGATTAGTCCTCGATAAACATATACAATATAGGAAGATTTTTCTCCATGTACAATGGTGGCCCGACGAATCCATCGATACAAGTGAATGGGTACATTAGAAAACGAACCATCGCCCAAGCAAATAACCCATTTCCCATCGCCATCATCTTTACATCTCGAAGGACCCGTCTCTTCCCAACCCTTCCAATATGTACTGGATCTCGTGGACGTTCTTCCCCGTCGTCTCCGGCACGCAAACGTACACGAACACGCCGGCCATCAGACAACAAACCGTAAACAACCCGAACGAGCCCGATTTCCCCGCCACCGACGTCAGCGCGTCGAAGTAATTCGTCACCAGGAAGCCGAGCAACCAGCAAACGGACGCCGTCGCCGACGAGGCGATCGACTTGACGTTGCCGGGAAACAATTCGCCCATTACGGCCCACGGCAACGGCCCGAAGCCCAAGCAATAGGCGACGATGTAGGCGATGAGGCTGACGATCGGCAGCCAGCCGATGGAGGAGGTGTCCCGGTGTTGTTGGTCCTTGACGAAGAAGTAATAGGCGAGGACGGCTTGGGCGACGGCCATTCCCAAGGCGGAGAGGATCAACAGGAAGCGCTTGCCTCGACGTTCGACCAACAGTGGTGTACAGGCGCTGGCTATGACTTGAACGACGCCGATGATGATGGTGCACAGGGCCGGAGCGAGGGACACGCCGGCGTCGGTGAAGATCGTTTGGGCGAAGAACAACACGATGTTGATGCCGGAGAGTTGTTGCCACGCCACCAAACCGATCGATATAATCAGAGCGGTACGGAGACCTTTCGTTTTGAATATATCGAGTATGTTACCTTTGATTTTCTGCTCTTGCTCCACTTGGACTTTCATCACCTCCAGCTCTTTGGCTACGATCGATTTTTCCATGCCGCGCAATTTCAAACTAGCCACCAGCGCTTCCTGAAACCTGCCGGATTGCAACAGATAATACGGACTCTCCGGTATGAGGAAGAAGAACAACGCGACGAACAACACGGGCGGTATCAACAGCAAAATATTGAAGAGAAATATCGATATAAAAGGTCCCAACGCGTACGAAAACAACAAACCGATCACGATAAACAGCTGCATGAAGGACCCCAAGGCGCCTCTGCACTCGTCGTCGGCCACTTCCCCCACGTACATCGGCAACGCCGTGAAGATGACGCCGACGCCCAAGCCGCAGAGGAACCGCCCCGCGTAGAAGAAGCCAACGGAGGCGGCGAGCACGTTGAGAACGTAGGCGACGATGAAGGGGGCCGTGGCCAAGAGCAGGGTGCTCTTCCTGCCGATGAGATCGGCGAGGATGCCGCCGCCGATGGGGCCGATGGCGGCGGCTAGAGGGAGAAACGAGCCGATCCAGCTCTCCTCCGAGCCGGTGATGTTGCGACCGAGCGGGCTGGTCGAGGCGTCGCGCAGGAGGGATAGTTCGGGCGACGACCAGCCCAGGCTCGTGCCGCATATGAACGAGGCCAGGTTGGCTGGAAAGAAGACAAAATATTGTTGGTGTTGATTAGAAGGTGGAGGACATGGTTTTTTGGGGGTTTGATGAGGAATTGTGGGTGTATGTGTGGAGAGTGTAGAGGATATTGGGCGACAATTGGGCAACTTTATTGCCATTGTTATTATCAAAATCGCAGGGACATACTGTACATATCTACGTATTTCTAAATATCCGTTGTTAGGAAATCAAAATAAGACGGTAGGAATTTTTTTAAGGACTCTTGTGAAGTAATATGTGTGCGTAGTGTTGATAAATTCTTAACAAATTGGCGTATGTAGGTACTTACATAAATAGAATTCGATACAATTGTACGATAAAGTTAATTTGGGTTGTCCGGATATTGATGATAAAAATTAGTATTATTCAATAGAACTACAATGGAATGAATTTTTTTGGGAATATTCCATCTTTCTTCGTCGATCGTTAAAAAAAGAATTCAATAAATATTACTCAATAAATAATCTATTTTAATATTTAATTTCGGTGTCATTAACATATAGCGCGTAAACAGGATAAATTAAGATAATGAAAAATCGTTAACACTACAAAAATTTAATTTTAGAGTCCTCTCAAATATTTCTAACCAACACGCCTCAATAAATTTTTTTCATCAAAATTACTCTTTAAACGTTCAAAATAATTGCACTAATTTAATTAGAAATATCGTAAATAAATCGAAACTCACCAATGCAAGTGGTCACGTACAAGAACGTTCTGTTCGGCTTGGGACTCGGCATAGCGAAACGGCACTTTGTTCACTAAATCTCCAAACTAATTTTCATTCTTATAATGTTAAGACATCTTCGGTCCCCTCTACTTTATATCAATTCGTAGTTTTCGTTCTCCGCCATTTTTTTCCTCTCGTATTATCAAACCATTATCTGTAGGTTAACACGTATCGCTTCAACTTTACGCCAAACAATCAACATTAAATCTTGCACTTTTAGCTATTAGTTTATTTGTTCAATTTGTAATTCGGGAAAAAATCGGTAAAGTAGGGGAAAATGAGGTAGAGTTTTGAGTTATACATAAAAAAATTGTTACCTTTTTACTTATTCACCCTGTATAGTTTTTGTCTGAAGTGTCAAATTTTCTGGTGATAAGTTTGATTTGGAAAACCCAAATAATATTGCAGTAGATAAATAATACTTGGAAAACTAAAACTTTCCTAATTATCGCCTCATATGTATTAATTTTTTTTTAAGTAGCGTAAATTACCCGATTACACTGCATGTAATCGCTTAATGAAATAATTCCAGTCTTGTTACGCTAATGAATTAATCGCACAGTTTTAACATTTTTATACTACCTACACATTTTACATTGTTACAGATACATTGCATTTTTAAAAATAGTCAAAAAACTTATATCGATAATACAACGATTAGTACAAAATATAATCGCTTAAAAAACAACATTGAATTATTAAATAATCGATAATAAAAATCGCCGATCGAGAGCACTCGAAAACAACGAATCATCATATCGTTCCATTAGATGCCAATCAGCAAATAAAATTCTCCAAAAAAGCTGTCCTCGGTTACAGAGCACATTTTTCCTCACATCTTCCTCTGACCCCCGAGCAACTCCTGGATCTCCGCGAAACTCCTGCCTGCCGTCTCCGGCAGGTACTTGTACACGAACCCGAACGACAGAAAACAACAGCCGGCGAACAGGCCGAACGAGCCCGACTTCCCCACCGCCTCCGACACCAGCCCGAAGTAGTTCGTGATGAAGAATCCCAGCACCCAGCAGAAGGACGCCGTCGCCGACGAGGCCGTCGATTTCACGTTGCCGGGGAACAATTCGCCCATTACGGCCCACGCCAGCGGCCCGAAACCCAAGCAATAGGTGACGATGAACACGGCCAGGCACAGGATGGGCAGCCAGCCGATGCTCGATACGTCCGAACCCCTGTCGTCTTTGAGGTAGAAGAATAGAGCGAGGGCTCCTTGGGAGACGCCCATGCCTATGCCGGATTGCATCAGCAATATCCTTTTGCCTAACCGTTCGACTAGCAGGGGCGTGAGAGCGCTGGCGATGATCTGCAGCACGCCGGTGAGGATGGTGCAAATTTCCGGCGCCAGGGGCACACCGGCGTCGGTGAAGATGCTCTGCGTGTAGAACAGCACGATGTTGATGCCGGAGAATTGTTGCCACGCCACCAGGTTCAGCGATATAAACAACGCCGTTTTGGTCGATTTGCTTTTGAAGATGTCCACGAACGTGGCTTTGTTGCTTTGGTCCACTTCGACTTGTACTTTGATGACTTCCAGTTCCTTTTGGGCGAGGCTTTGTTCGTTGCCGCGCAGCTGGAGGAGCGCCCGCAGGGCGTCGTCGTCGCGGCCGCTTTTTATCAAATAATACGGCGTTTCCGGGATGAATATGGAAAAGAGCAACAAGAAAACGACGGGTGGTACTACCAGGATTATATTGAAGGTCGTAACGGGTAAATAGGGACCGAGGGCGTAGGAGAAGAGCAGCCCGATGACGATGAAGAGCTGCATGAACGAGCCCAGCGAGCCTCTGACTTCGTCGTCGGATATTTCTCCGATGTACATCGGTAGAACGGTGAAGACCAGTCCAATGGAGAGGCCGCAGAGGAACCTGCTGAGGTAGAACATCCAGACGTTCGTGGCGAAGGAGTTGATGACGAAGGCGGCGATGAAGGGCAGAGCGCTGATTAGTAGGGATTTCTTTCTGCCTAATTGATCGGCTAGAATGGCGGCGCCTAAAGGTCCTATTGCTGCGGCTAGGGGAAGGAAGGATCCCACCCAGCCCTCTTCGGAGGCCGACATTACGTGATCCAAAGGACTGTTGGTTAGGTTCTTTAGTAGAGGAATCTCCGGGGAGGTCCATCCTAGACTCGTTCCGCACACGAATGAGACCAGGTTGACTGACAAAAAACATTTTATTTTAACGGTTGAATCTTAATAGGTGTTAAAAACTTACCGATTATAGCCGTAATGTACAGGAATTTTCGATTGGTAGAGGTGCCAACGTGCATAACCGAAACGTGAACGTTTCCGTTGCCATCTTCGATTGAAAACGGGTGTATTTCACTCGTGGGCACTTGCCTGTAATCCTTCTCCATTTTCCTGGTTATATTTTTCCTGTATATGTATTTTCTTTTGAAAAATTTATTCGATTTTTTGCATCGTCTGGTTTAAGTAAGGAGAAAAAAGTTGCTTGTGGAAACACAAATGCGTTCGAAATCTAATTAACTTACCTTCGATTGAAATTTTAAAATAATTGTAAAGTAGGTATATAAGCATCAGAAGTATTTATCAGATTTGCGGTTCAAGTGGGTACTTTAAACAATAATGCGATAATAATAGCAAATAAATGCTTAATTATATTTTCTTGTAGAAATTTAGTTTAAAAAAAATCCTTTCATTGAATAAATATGTATTCGATTGATCGTAGATAGATTGTAGTAGCGATTTGATAACTTTCGATTCGAAGAATTCGTCGATAAATTGATGCCTATCGATAGTTTCTTTTTCGTGATTTTAATAGAAAAAATAGATGTAGAAGAGTATTATTAAATGATTGAAACAAGAACTTTAATAATAGAATCACAGATTTATTATACAAACAGTTCTTTGTAAAACACAATAATAGAAGGCAGTGTATAACTGTGTGAATAATCAGTACATTTGACAAATAAACTTAAACTAAATTCCTAATATTGTTGAAGAAGTGTTTTTTCGTACGGTTTGCATACATAACTTCTTAAAAAATATCGAATGCGTTTAATTTTTTTTTTGTAAAATAAGTTTTTTAGTTAATAAAAACCGGGAAATACTAGAGTAGACATTTTTGTAATGTAAATTTTATAATAGCGTGATTATTTTGTAGGTATAGGAAAATTATTAAACGCAGTCAATAAATAATTATCAAATTAATTACACAAGTTATATTTGTCCATTATTATATTATAAGAAGGAATGAAAATGGCACTAATTAAATGTTAAATATTTGTAAAACAATTGTAAAACGTAGCTGCCTTAATGAGATATACATATAAAGTTATCAGTTTTGTGAAGTGTGTATTAAATTTATTTTTGCAGGAAACGGTGATTCAGTATTCGACACTATTCTGCAGTAGAGAATGTTATCATCTAATAATTGTAAGTATTCATTAATTGATAATTGTTTCTTATATCTATTTTTCTCCGAATTATTGCTGGTATACTAAGTTTGCTAATAATTTCATTTCGGGTTTTGCAATTATTACAAATGAGCAGCATTTCGAATTTTCGATGAATTTTTCTTTCGACTTAAATATACTTTGAAGCGGATAAATGCTTCACATACAAATATAACTTGCATTTATATTAATTAATTTACGTGCATTTGGTGTAGTCTTACAAAATTGCTTTCTCTAAAATTAGCATATACTTAATAGGTACAATTTAACTATGTAGGTATCCTCTATGTAAAAACTTTTTTGAATTCGAATCCAAAGTGCTGAAATTTTTCGAAATATTACAAAAGAAAATTAAAAATCAATTTGATTCGACTGCTTATAGCACTTTGAACGTTACATTTATTTTGGCACTGTACTGGGCAAAGTAAATAAAAAATAATAATAATAAAAAATGTACAATTAAATGATTGCATGTTACAAAATACACATGCATACGTGTAAATATTAAAGCTATAAAGCGAAATGCTTCAAAAACGTTAATACACAACGAAATCCGTATATTATTTTGAAATCAACTAAATATGAAAGTTAATTCTCTCAGTTCGTACATGTGCTCGATAAATAGCTAACTAGCTAAGTTACATATGCGAAAAATTTGTTAAGATTGTGTTCCACATATCACAGTCATTAGAATTTCAACACGAATACACCTCTACAATTATTACATAGAACAACAAATCGAATGGCAAATAATTATTTATTAATATTCTCCGAGCTCATGAGTTTTTCTTTCTTTCTTTTTGAAAAGTCAGCCTTGAAAAAATACTGATCAAAATCGGAACAACTAGGAAAAATAAAACGTTTCTTGAAGCACATCTAACTCTACGTAGAGGAAATATTTTAAAAATATACACATTTTGAGCAGTGACTTCCTAAAATTCCAGTTAATCGAAGTTGCGTGTGACGAATCGATCACAGAAAATTTTGCTGCATCATTTTCAAAACTCGTGAAAAACGTTTCGGAAATATACAAAAATATATTATAAAAAAAAGCGATAGTTACTCAATTCGGTGCGAAACGTTTTGAAAATGATGCGCAGCAATTATACAAGTAGGAAATATTATTTATGTACATAAAAAAGTTTTATTTTATACCTAAAATTTTAAAAATTGTAAAAAGATTAACGATTCATCTAGCATCGTTTAAAAGTAATATGTACAAAGTACAACACTAGATTCTAAAGTTTTTAGTCTTGAAGAAATTGCTAAATAATGTAAGAAAAATTCAATCAATTTGTCATACTTGCATAAGGAAATAAAAACGAACGAAACGTCTCTATAAGAGATCAATTACATAAATATTTAACTGCCTACATTTGGTCCAAGTATCAATAAATCAACTAAAAATTAATTAGTCTATAAACTCTAACGATTCTCTCATCAATCTAAAAAGCTTTTATAGATTGGAAAATAGAAGATGTTTCGAAAAATTATCTACCTACGTGAATAACGCGATTCAATGGAAGATTCTCTAGTTTTTCCTAAATTACTATAAAGTAAAAAAACAAATCCTACTATATCGTAAATATTTACACGCGCCTCGTCAAATCGACTAAACTATATATATAAAAAAAATTATCAAATAAATAAATCACATTATCGAATTTTAAACCTAGGTCTCTATCGTTCACACGAACGACGAAAACCCCGGCAGGGGCGCCCTCGACCTCGCCATGTTATTCATAATAATTTGGCCCCCGTTCAAACTGACAACGGCGCTGCCCTCGGGCTCCGAATCCGTGTAACTCGAATAGTTTCGTACCGGCTTCTGGCGTTTCCACGACTGTCTCAACGTATCGTTCACGTTGGCGTAATGATTTACGAACGAATGGGGATCCGATCGGACGCTCTCGTTTTCGTCCTCAGAACCCTAAAAAAATAAAAAAAAAACACCAAACGATTAGTAGAGAGAATGTTTTTAAAAGGTAAATTTATAGCGTGTACGAGTGTGTAAATGATAAATCTAAAAACTATTCCAGCTAAATAAATTAGAAATTTTGTAGGGTAGATTGTAGGAAAAGAAGGAGTGGATGTTGCTCAAAATGTCAATGTCAATTTGACATAAAAATCGAGTAACAAAAAAATAAAATCTAAAGCATGTAATGTAATGTGCAAAAGTAACATGCTCGAGTCGCGCTTCAACTGTGAATTAAAAGCATCTAAAAAGAAAATTCTCAACGTAGACGAATAATAAAAATAAATTAACGTGGTGCAATTAAGCCGTTTTCGGTACAAACAAAAAATTCGCCGTAAACGTTTTTCGTTTATTGAAAGAATTCGAAACTAAACTTTTTGATACAAACCGCATTCCACGTGAATTTGAGTTATCTGAAAAGAAGTCACAGTGAGGCACAATCTTTCAATTTAGTCACATTTCACACGATATACTTTGCTTTTACGTATAAGTATAACATATTACAACAATTTAGGATACACAAACTAGCCCAATAATTGTTATTAATTATTATCCTATTTTACCTGCGAATCGGACGAACTAATCTCCGATGGTTTTTCGGTAACGCTACTATCGTCAGGATTTTCGTCGTATCCTTTGAGACTCTCCTCGTCGGAATTGTACGGCACGGAGGCCGGTGAAGGACGAGGCGGGGATTTCCCCAAAACGGTCGGTGGTTGATGATGATGATGGGGCGGCTTTCGCGACAACGTGCCCTTCTTCGTGAGATTATTCAACGTGTTGGTGCTCGCAGAACCGTTGCGCGAATTGTAATAGTCCATCGCGAGTTCCTGTTGATCGCAGGTCGACATCGCCATCGATTCCTCCAACGTTTTTTGCGCTTCCTCTGCAACGGGTTTTTTAATTATAACATAAAGCGAATGCTCGACGTATATTTTACTACGCTTACGTTTGTATTTGTAACTTTTGCTTTTCACGCACAAAATCGCGATGATCGTTATGATGATTATTATTGAGAAGGCCGCCAAGGCCACCATGAACCAGGTTTGTCTATAAAACGGTGCGTGCTGCAAATACCCGTACTCCATGTAGAGTTTAGACGGCGTTAGAACCGATTCGTCGGAATAAGCGGGATAACTAATACCGAATTTGTTGTAGGGAATCACCCGGAAATTGTACGAAGTCGAAGGAAGGAGGCTTTGGTATAAAACGGTGAATTCCTGCAGGAGGCCGTTCGTCGTTTTCGTCACCGTCTGCCAACGAACGTCATCTAAAATCGTATTTTATTTAACAACAATTCCACGACTACACGCCGAATTATTTTTTCTTTCATACCTTTTCGCCTCGATTCCACGTAATAACCCAAAATCGGACCTTTCCCCGACGCCCCGTTCGACCATTTCAGTTCGATGCTCGACAGGGTCTTCACCAAGGTGAGTTCTTTGGGCGTGCTGGGCGAACCGTCTTGCGGACCGGTCGTCACGTTACTGGCCACTGCCGGTCCCCAATCGATCGTTTGAGCTTTCACTTTAAACGTGTACGTCACCTCCTCCTCTAAGCTTTGTACTTGCAGGTACGTCGTGGTCACTTTTTGTTTCACTTGCTTGCTATAACCTGGAAATGTGTACTCGCTTTAATTCGTTTCTACTTCGTTAAAAAAAAAAAATAACAGTCTTACGGTCGTTTTCCACGGCCGTTTCGTACGTTACGATGTAACTGATGATGTCGCCGTTCCTCTTTCTCGGCGGGTTCCACGACACCATCAGGCTGTTCATGGTGATTTCGGAGAAGGTGAGATTCGTGGGTGGACTGGGCAAACCCTGCCACGTTTTCACTCTGATGGGTCGCGATCTGGGCCCGTCGCCGGCCGGATTGAACGCCAATACTTGTATGCTATATTCGGTGTATTTGTCGAGGAAGACTAAGCTGTGAGAGGTCGTCGAGGCCGGTACCACTTCGATTTCTTCCTCCCACTTTTTGCCCGGTTCGATTTCTTGCGGTGAATTCAACACCAAATAGAAAATCTGAAAGTATTTCGGCAGGATTATTTCGCGATAAATTTTTGATTGGAAATACCCACTTTGTATCCCAGTAGTTCGCCGTTTTGCATGTTCTGTTGCGGCGGTTTCCATTTCAAACTAACCTCGGTGGAGGATACCGGTTTACCTTCGAGACTTCTCGGTTCTCCTGTCGGGACCGCTTCTCCCACGTAAACGGTTATTGGAGGACTGGCGGGGCCTTCGCCTTGCGCGTTATACGGTACCACAACTTTGCGCGTTATACGGTACCACAACTATCTCGTAATTTCTATCTTGTTGTAATTCGCTCAAAACGATTTTATTTTTCTAAAAAAAAATAAACAATAAAAATTTATACGTATATTACTTACCATTGTCCTACCATTATTCCTAATATTTCTTCCTTGGGTGTTGCTTGAAGGGCTGTAGGAAAATCCGAAACGGGTTGAAAAATCACCCTGTAACCGCCAGTTTTACTATCACCGCTCCAGTAATGTTCGTTGACCGGTTCCCAAAGTACTTCGACGCTGGTCGTCGTAGTCGGTACGGCTTTTAAACCGGTAACGCCTTTAAAATAACGCGCGAGTATTATTTCAAAAAATGATACAAAAGAAAAAGAGATATAAACGTTTTACCTTTACTAGGAGCCGCCGAGTAAGTTCTAACTTCTACGGATTCCGGACTGTATTGACTCGGTCCTATATCGTTAGTGGCCTGTATTCGAAATCTGTATAAAGTAAAAGGTTTCAAATCGGCTACCGTATAGGAAGTTAATTGCGGATCGACTCGTTCGGGTAGCGATTGCCACGGACCGCCGTTTTCCATTTTTTGCACCGTGTAGTATCGCAACGGAGCGAAACCGTCTCTACCGGGCGTCCAGCTGAACGTGATGTGATGACTTTGTATTTGACTTCTGCTTATTTGCGGCATCGACGGCGGTTGTGGAGTTTCGCGATTGTTGGTGGTGAAAACGAGAACGTGCGCCGTTTTACCCCAACCTAAGCGAGTTTGGGCGGTCACCGAAAATAAATAATACTTTTCCGGTTCTAACTGCGTAAACCTACGATGATGATACAATACGATTAATATCTATTTAACTCGTAATTATAATTAAAATGTACCTGAAAGTTCGACCCGACGGAGGAAATTCCTTGGAGAATTTGTTGTTCGTTTTCACGTTATCCAAATGATAAGTGACTTTATAGGCGAGTATTTCACCGTTGGGTTCCTCCGGTACGTCCCATATTATCCTCGCAGACGTCACGGAAACGTCGGGAAACGAAACGTTAGACGGAGCACCGGGAACTACGATTACACAAACATTTATAATCGATTATCAATTAATAAATTACACGCTTACCGTCCTCGAACGTTCGAACTCTGATGGCCGGTTTACTGGGCTCCCCGTCGCCCAATCTAGTATACGCCACCACTTGTATGTGATAAACAACGAATTTTTTCAACTCCGTTAGCGTAGTCGTAAACGTGGAATTGCTCGCTATTTGCTTATAGAGTATAGGCGATTTATTTTCGGCCGCGTAATTAACCTTAAAACCTTCGATCAACCCGTTTTGGTGCTCCTTCGGCACGTCGCCCCATTTCACCACGATAGTCGTCGACGATGTCGCGTTGGCTTCGACGTTTAACGGCCCGAAAGACGGCACTAAAAAAAATACGATTACATTTAAAATCCGAGCGACAACTTTCGGTAAGTATATTTACCGGATTCCCGGGTTCGTTCCAAAGCCGTGGGTCCAGGCGTGGAGCATCCCACGTCGTTGCACGCTTGCATTTTCACCTCGTAAAGAGCGAACTCCTCCAAGCCGATGATCACGTGCGAATTCGCCGTGTGATCTTCGATCGTCGAACTGTGCGCGAATCCCGTACGGATTTCCGTGTACGTTATGTTGTAACCTCTCGGATTCCCGAACCATTCCACTTGCAATAGAGGCTAAAAAAAAAAACATACCAAAACGAATCAGTGGATAATAAGAGAATAGAAAGAATCGGCTTTTTAAGATAGCAAACAGTACGGAAAGGATACCAGAATACATTAAAATGTTACTTACGATCCAACGAACTCTCAATTCGGTGGCGCTCATCGCTCTCACCGTAACGTTTTTAGGCGGAAACGCCGGTGGTGCTTGAATAGTTTGAAATTCCTTGGTGGCTTCCGATGGAACGGACGCGCCGACTACATTATTAGCTACCAATCGCAATCTGTAGACGGTGAATGGCACCAAACCGGTGACGGTGATGGTGGTGGCGTCGGGATCGGTGATTTCGTAGGCGACGAACCACGTCGTGTTCCTCGACGTTTGCGCTTCGACGGTCCATTTCGTTATCGAGGAATTCCCGTCGAAGCCGGGCGTGAATTGCAATACGACCGAGAAAGCTTCGATGTTCGATAGAGCTAATTTCGATGGCGGATGCGGCAGGACCGGTTCGACGCCCGATTGTATTATGGCGATTTTAGATGGACCCGAACCGATTGCGGAGAGGGCCGATACTTCGAAGCGATAGTGCGTGGTGGCTTGGAGATCGTTCACCTAAAATAAACCTAAAGTTAGTAGGTATCCAAACATCGCTTACTAAAAAAGTCCCTACCTTTATGCTCAACGTATCGGCCGTTAAATTCTTCACTCTGACGGTACTCGGATCGTCTTTGACTTGATATTTCACACGATAGCCCAGCAATATGCCGTTCGACTTTTTGGGCGGTTGCCAAATGACTTTGACTGCTCTATCGCTGATTTCGTCGAATTGTAAATTCGTTACCTCGTCGGGAACTGAAAACGAGCGTAAGTATTCGAAACGATTTCGCGTTTTTTTTTTTTTAATAATCTCACCGTCTTCTTTGGTTTTCACGTTGACTTTCTCGCTGATTTGCCCGTCACCCGGATCGGTGAAACACACCACGCTGATATTGTAACCGGCGAATTTCTGTAAATGCGTCATAATTGCCGTTTGTTCGGCGTAAGGATCCAGTAAATTCGGATGTACCGTCATCATGTTGGTTTCGATGTTACCTCTAAAAATTAGAGCGTAATAAAACGAATTTAATTCGAATTCACAATCGTAATTTACCTGATTGGGTGCCATTGCCACGCTTGGATTTTATAACCCTGATTGATGCCGTTGATCTTCTGCGGATTCGGTGGAATCCACCAGATTTGTATCGAAGTCGAATTCAAAGCTTCCACTCGTTTGATGATAGGCGGCGCTTCCGGGACGCCTTCTTTCGTTTTGATTTTGGCCCCTTCGGTGAACACGCCGATGCCTTTGTTGTTGTAGGCGGCTATTTGGACAACATAGTCCTTCCACGTTATCAAATCGGTGATTAGATAGTTCCTTTGCGCCTCGTTCGTGATGTTTCTGATGGTCCAAGGGCTCTCTTTGTAACCGTACAGTCTGTAGCGGATAATGTAGCCTAATATTTGACCGTTTCGGTGCTCTTCTAAAGGGGGTTGCCATTGGGTTATGATTTCCGAGGAACTTCTCGCCGAACCGACGAAACCCACGGGAGGTCCGGATGGGGCTGTGGTCGAATAAAGTGTATTTTTTTTAATAAATTTAATTAAAATTAAACAGTGTTTTACTAATAGAAAAAGTTTAAAAGTAACATTTTTATAAGATACAAGCAGGTTATTTAATATTTTAAGCGGTTGATTAATTAATGAGGTATAATAAACGATAGAAACCAATTTAGAATTCCGTTTAAAACATTAAATTTTTTCGGAAGAACTTTTGTCGAATATATTCGGTACACTATCATTATACAAGTAAAGCGACGTTCCAAAAAACAAGGCTAATTAAAAGGTGGAAGTGATTTTTACTATATTGTTCTTCTGTTTCTAGAACGAAACCATTTTATTTCCAGTAACGAATAGATTAAATTATTATTATTATTACCTCATTCGTTACCGATTATGGCTCTTATCTAGAAACAGCTAAGCAGTTCATATATACGTATAAATTTCAACTACAATTCAGGTAGTTCCAACAAGGCCAAAAAGGATGGAAAAATAATTGCAAAATAGTGAAATACATAAAGAGAAAGAGAAAAGACAAAAAACATTTCATGCAGATATATTTAACGATTTGACAAAAATCCCACCTTTATATAGAAATGCATGTGAGCTGCCTGTACGATTGAAACAATATGAAAACGAGTTACTTGATTTATTCATTAATAAAAAAATTTTATCTTTCTTACACCGACCCTTTTTTTTTAATAAATCAACGATTATTCTCTATATTTATACGAATTCTTACCTTCTTGCGGTAACATAATTTCATTACTAGGCTCTGAAGGAGGTCCTTCCCCTACGCTATTAACGGCACTAACTCTGAATTGATAAACAGCCGCAGCTTTTAGATTCTTCAAAAGGATCCATTTTTGCGATGCCGATACGTTACTCAGCTCGGTGACCCAGTTCAGAAGGGGATCAGGAATGGGACCTGCAATAGGCGGTACTGAATGAAAGAATAATTCCGCTTGAGCTCGGTTACTGGTCCAGAGAGATCTTTCATTTTAACTTAGAAAGCTGAATGATAGAATGAAGCTTGAATGAATCCATTTAATGGATGTAATACAGCGAGTTATTTAAATGAAACATCTCTCGGGACAAAACGAAATGTACATTTCAAGTATGAGCATGCTGGTTTTTGCGCAAATAAAATAATTACGTAAAATAAACGTTGCGAAATGAAGCCCAAATTAAATTTCGAAAAATAAAGGGTATTTTGCAAAAATATAAATACCTTTCTCTACATGCCCATGCAGTCAAAACAATGTTTTTGTGTCATATAGCATTTAAGGGCCTTTAAGGTTTCTTTTTAAATAAATTATTTGTTGTTTAGATTGGACTTGTTTTAAATGATTTGCTCGAGATGAATTAAGCTCGAATGTTAAAAAGATATATTATGTATTTTAAACAGCATGTCATAAAAATAGAATTATAAATAAATTGGTTAAATTAGTATGTTACTATTATTAAAAAGTGATTGTATGTAAGATTAATATACATACATATGTGCTAGAAAAAAAAAAGTATGTAAGTTAATACCGAAAGAAAGAAGTGGTTAAAAAGTCCAAAATATCCCAAGCATAAATATAATATCACCTCAAATAAATAATCCCTATCCTATAAATAAATACTTAATTTATTAGTATATTAACAAATTGCGCTTTATTCAAAGCATGAAATAAGAAGCATATTAAAGAGTTGTAAACATAGAAAACTAGTAAATTAATCATTATTAGTCATAATTCCTTCACCCAAAATTAGTAATGATAAACGATGTAATAGAATAGGACAATATATAACACAAAAACAGTGTTTAAAAGCACCATTTATCTATTCTACTGATACTCACCCAGTTCGGGAATCTCTCTTTTTTGCACAATATATTTCTTGATGGGACTGTTTCCGTCGAAACCGCTCGTCCAACTTACGTTAACGGCTCGTTGAGTTCCGTTTTCTAAACGCTCCGCTTTAACGCCGGTAGGCGCAAAGGGTAGTTCGATCACAGCAAGTTTAGCTGACCTGGTGTCGTTGCCTCCCGGGGACTGGACAGTGCAGGTATAATAGCCAACATCGGACGCTCGAACGGCTTCGATTTCGAGGGTACCATCGGTTAGAATTCTTATTCGTTGGCTGCTGTGCGGGTTGATTAATCTAAAAAGAAGATTGAGGTGTGAAGAAAGTTGTCAATTGTGCGAATAAATGCTTCTTACTGTTTGTCACGAAACCAGTCCAATTGATAGCGAACTGTGGAATCTGATGAAATTTTGCATTGTAAAGTGGCTGTTTGACCCAAGAGTACTCTCGTATCCACCGGAGGTTGAACGATCTGCGTTCGAACTGTAAAAACGTTTTAAAGCGTTTTAAATAGGTTTTTTAAAAAAGTTTAAAAGTTTTTCCAAAGTTTAACCTTAAAATGTTTTACCGGTATCGTAGAAGTTATCGCACGAAGCTTCGTTAGAAAATAAAAGCAACAGAAGAAAAATAAACATTTAAATGGTTCAAACTTAAATAAACTAACTTAAAATGAAGAAAAATTATAAAAATTAAGTTAACGTTTGTTTACATTTGCGTTTGAAATAAAAAGCAGATGTTCCATCACATTCCAGTGTGGCCAACTTAACTCGTAAGTAGTTCAAATGCCTCGATTTTTCACACCCTAAATTTATCGTTCCGTGGATATAAAAATGTCATATGTCAAATGCACATGTCAATGATTGAGGTTATGTTTTTGTTGGTAAATTCGAAATTTAATTTAGTGATTTAGTGATTTTTTTTGAATGTACAATTTGGTGCACATTTTTTGGTGTACCTAATAGATCAAATTAGCGTGTTATTGAGAAGCCTTTAGTTTCTATCACAACTTACTACAATCTGAATATCCAATCGTGTAATCTACTCTTCCGAAAATTTGTCATTAAGAAAAGTACCATGTTAATTTTAGAGTAATTTTCGAGGGTTTCATCTATTTGTTTTGTCGTTTTAATAGTAAGAAAAGAATATTCTCTCCGTATTTACCTAAAACCTGCAGGTACGCAGACCCTCGAACTTCTCCGGCCTCGTTCGATCGGATGCAAGTATACAGCCCGGCATCTTGCTCTTTAACGGCCGCTATGAGCAAATCTCCGCTTTCCAGGATCTGAACTCGACTGGATGTGACCACTTCTTTGTTACCTAAGTACGAGGAAATGTAAAAAATAAAGCATACGAGTTGTGAATTATAAAATAAGTACCGTTGTGTATCCATGTGACGTTCGGAACGGGAGCCCCTACGGCTCGACAAGTCAAAGTAGCATCTTTTCCGTCTAGAATGGTCATATTTGTCGGACCGAATTCCATTATAGGAGTGGACGCTGAAATAATTATTGGTTAATTAATAAAAAATATTATCTAGTAGGGTTCGATTATTAATAAAAATATTAAAAAAAACAGTGCGAAAAAACGAGAAATAAAGTGGTTGTTTTCTTCTTTTATTGGCACACAAAATAATAGATGAATTAAATCTCTACGTGTTTCGTAAAAAACCAAAAAAAAATCTTCTAAAATTTCCATTTCTCAATAGTTGATATTCTACAAACTAAAAACACTTTTTGTTGCCGCATGCATTTCGATATAGATACCAGTTTTTGTATAAACTCGATGATAATCGTCGGAAAGCAATTAAAGTTCATTCCAACAAAGTGCAAATAAATTAAAGAAAAAAAAATCCTCTACAGTGCAAAAATACAATGAAAAAAAAAAAAACCGCATTCCACAATGAAACCGTTCTTACATGGGGCGATATAGCGAAAGGTTTTTTTATTATGACGATCCGCCGAACTTCTCAATCTCACTATTTTAGCGGCTAAACTTCTTACTTTCCTCGGCTCTGCGTCGCCAAACAAACATTTATTATGTAGTAAAAAATACTAGAAAAAATAATAAAAGACTTACTTTTAACTTTCAACCAAGTCGAAAGGGAGCTTTCTCCGGCTTCGTTTCTAGCAAAGCATTGGTACATCCCGTTATCGCTAATCAGCAATTTTTTTATCAACAGCGCGTTGTCTTCCTGTACTTCGTACCTAAAAAACAAACTCATTCGTTTAAACATAATTAATAAAAATCGATGCACTAATAAAGTACCTTTTGTTAGTTAAATCCAGCTCTTCCGAATTTTTGTACCACGTAATATTCGGCTTGGGAATCCCCAAAACGTCGCACGGCAAGTTCATAGAAGCCGAATATTCTCCCAAAGTTTCCGATTTCGCCATGCTCAGGAATTTCGGCTTCTCCAAAACACTCACGTGCGCTGAGGCGATGGCTTCGGGAAACCCTCCCGATCTCAAATTCACCTAAAATCGCACGAGAAACAATTTTATCACAAAATAACCGAAATACGAGGGGTGTACGGTGTAAAGTTCTCGGCCCGATACACTGAGAACACTCCAAAATAATTTATAATTTAAATTAGAACTGTCTAAAACCCTTTAGAACGCTTCAGAATCATTTATAGAACCATCTAGAACTAAATACTTTGCTTTAATAAGAAGAATAAAGCAATTTTTCAATTCGCATTGTTTCATCGTCAGGTCGAGAACTTTTCATTTTACCTTCGTAATATACTTACTTGGCATTCATACTGGCCGCTGTAGGTGGTGTTTATAGAGGCCAATATCAACGTCCTGTTCCATATGTCGTTGAAAGAGTACAAAATTCCGGTACTTTCGATCGGAATGCCGTCTTTGAACCACAAGGTTTCCAATTCGTACAAAGGTCGCGCGTTCGCTATGCAATCTATCGATGTTTGGGGGATTCCTTTGACTAATCTCAAGTCCCTGGGGCCCACTATGATTTCCGGGGCTATTTCTTTACCGTCGTTCATTTCTTCGACTATCAGTCTCGTGTAAGCGCTGTTCTCCTCTTTGCCTTCTTGCGAATTTATTGCACGGGCCCTGTACCCAAAACAGCCAATTGTCAATGAGTAAACATAGTTATATGCTGGAGATTTGGATCTTATAGGTTGGTATATATACGCGTGAAACTTACCTATAGGCTTTCTGATCGGAAAGTTCAGTAGATAAAATAACCAATTGGTTATTGGTGGTATAAGCGTATTTCTGTCCGTAAGGGGTGATTCCCTCGTCCGTTTGCCACGTCACATCCGGCGGTGGTACCGAATCGATTTCCGGCAGGTCCAAAATGGCGGCGGCGCCTTCTCTGACCGTTACTGTGCGTTCGTTTTGATTTTCGAAAACGCCCATGTCTTAAAAATAAAATAGTGCTTCGAATGGGCTTCGGTTAATGTTATAGAGTCTACTCACAGGCCACTACGATTTTGATTTCTTCGCTCAATATAGAGCCGATTTTATTGGCCGCTATGCACCGGTAACTTCCGCCGTTCTCCAATTTGGCGGAAATTATTTTGTAAAAAGGGTCGGTAGACAATTCCGTTATGGGAACGCCGTCCTTTAACCACCTGAATTGCGGCGGAGGATTGCCTGTTGGAACAATGGAAAATTATTATTAACAACAAAAAAATATATGGCGTTTTCTATTGTATATAGATTCGTAATTAAAACGCGAAATTCATCAGTATGTACTATGTTTAGTTTTACGACTGTTACAGTTTACAACGCAACACGCTAATTAACGTTTTACCGTCGCTATTTTGCGTTTTATTACCGTCTGTTTAAATATGAAACTTGCGTAATATAACTTTTAATTTAATCACGACCCTAATGCTTATTATTATTATTATTATTTGGCGAAAAGCGCGACAAAAACCCGTTTCGCGTTATGCATATAATCCAATCGTCTGGCGCCTTTTCGGGGCCCTAGAAAGACGAGTTACAATAGAGTACTTTATTTAGAAAGTGGTTTTCAATCTAAATTGGCTGAACAAGCTATACGTACAAGACAGGAGGTAGTTGAAGCGACACGCTGATGGAATGCTATCGATTCGATAGCATTGTTTTTCAATTGCCGAGGGGGAATTTGACACCCCTAAATTAATATTTTACCTATACCTATACAAACTCTTCGCTAAGGCGAATTTAAAAAGGCACGTCGTGAAGATACTCGAATAACGACACGGAAAAAATCTTGAATAAATAATTTTTTTGATTCGTAATTGGTTAAATTTGACTATTCTATTCTCATCTGAATCTACTCCACATTACTCTGATCTACACCTATTTTAGAATGATTTACTCCTGTTCTACTTTAGATCTACTCCAATTCTGATCTACTCTACTGTACACTTTCAAAAATGATATTTCTTATGAGTATGAGACATTTTAAACAACTACAATGTAAAGAGGGAAAACGATGGTAATTGAATTTAAATATAGAATCGGTTGCAGGGCAACAAATCGTTTTAATAACCGCCTCTACATATTCTACATTACCGAGCGATAAAGGAAATGGTACGAGCGTAAAATCATGAATAAACTACATAGACGTTGCGTCCGATACGAAAAAAAAATATATAAAAAACACGTCCATTAAGCGTTGAAAATTGGTATACAAGGAGTATCTAATATAATACATTGTTAAAATTAACGGATATCGGCAAATCGAACCGATTAAATGTTTAAATGTCCAGTCACGTAATGCCCATATCCTGCATGCGATGCGCTAACATCAGTTTTACTGGAACTACTGGGGAACTCGATTTTAAAACAAAACGTCTTTCGAACTGGAGACATTTTTCTATTTTTTTTTTTTGTTGAAAACGTAATTATTCTTGCACATTTTCGCAATTACGCGACTGTATAATATCTGTCGTATTTTCCGAGTTATTTTTTACGGTGGGAAACTTTCGGAAAGTTCAAAAGTCGCCCCCGTTGAAATTTAAAATTCATATGTAGAAGTCGGATGTCGCATAAATATATGAAAAAGGACGTTTCGCTCGGTCCAGGATCGGACTAGCTATTATTACCCGAATGATTCACATCCAATTATCCAGCAAATCGAATGGTTTTGCTCTACCTCCAAAAGCTATAAAGTTATAGTTGAATTTGAAGGATTTGTGTTAAAAAATTTCACGTCCTTATACAGTAGTTATCGAATGTAAATGTAAATGCGTTTAATATACGCCTCTGGATCCGAGTGGAACGTCAAATAGATGCAGGAAAATGTTTTCCTGTTTTCCGAATATGAGCACGCTGTTTGCTCTCTTCTCTTCCGATACTATTCTATAAACTATATGCATACGAGCGGGCTAATTTATGTTTGTTAGTGTCCATTACACTAATAGGACCGGTATGTCTTTTTGTCATGCACGTTCCAACAACACCCATGCCGAAATAAACTGATTATTGGGATAGAAATGAGCAATCCCGTTAAATAGTTTCTCGTCCACGATAAATTTATATTCCCCAGACTCTGTCTCATTTCGAAATGAATCGCTTTAGTTTAGTCTACAGTTACATGGCACAAATCCGCTTAGAAATATGCGAAAAAAATCGTAATAAAGTCGCGATACAATTATAGAGAAATTATTCTAATAGGATGAGGAATTTAAAAGCCACGCGGGTTTTATGGGGCGAGCGCTCGTAAAAATTTTAATAAATATGTAAAATTGCTAGTTCGAGTTATCCTCACGTGTACATCTAGCGCACAAAGACTGATATATTTTCAGTCGACGTAATTAATACAAAAGTCCTGCGAGTGGACATCCTGCATGATGTTTTCCGAACGTCACGTAAATCTCGATGAGCTTTCTGCTGCATGCACATAATATTATGATAAAAATCTCCTGCTCGCTCTTTTTTACTCATCTTGCATATTCGGAGAATATTCGACTTCATTTGCAAACTTTCAAAGAAATTATATAAACATTTTGGGCGAATCAGAGTAGAATAGAATAGAGTAGATTCAGTAGGGTAGATTCAGAATGGAGGTGATTCGGAGAGGAGTAGAATCAAAGTAGATTCAGAGATCAAAATATGTGTAAAGGTTGTAATTTAATGCACTTTGCGGATTAAAAAAGTATTAAAAGTCCCATAAATAAATTTATAATGCAGTGTATAATAATAATAATAAGAAACGCATTTAATTTTTTTATGAAATATGTACAATTTGCATGCTAAATTACACGTTTTTACATAAATTGTAGGCGAGTTAATTGGGCGAACAACACTCTCGAAAAATACCGTACAGAAAACTTCAGAATTGCTATATAGCAGGAAAATTCGATAACCTCGAAACATTGCAGTAGTAAAATCGATGGAAAAGCGGTATGAATTAACTAAACGGATTATCGGACGCCGAGGAAACGAAACCCAAAAGAAAAACACACGCGGAAAACGGCGCAAATATATACAAGCGATATCCGCTACCGGTTTTCCAGGATAATTGCATTTTTATGAAGCGATCTATGCACACGACGTGCGTATGCAGGAAAATCCGATTACATAATTCCATCGCTATTTTTACATCGATTTAATTTAAACTTCCTAATTCTCGTTATGAATTAATTTAGATTAAGACACTTCGGACGCAGCGCTCGTCAAATCGTGATTACCTTGACGCCTCCGAGGAAATTTCCCAGATAACTAAATTAAATCCGTCCTCCCCTGTATATCTAATATTGATAGGGGGCGCATCAAGGCGGCTGTTATCATATTTGATTGTATATCGCATTATTTAAGGAACGAGCGGAATTGGTTTTTGGGTAATTAATTCGCGAGTTTCTTAAGTCACGAATCGAGAAATTGTAGCGATTATACAACAGGTGGGAGTTTAATGGTTATGCGAAGTTTGGATGTAATTTCGAATATTTGATGACGGGAAAATCAAAAGAAAATCGTTTGTAAAGCGAGCGCAAACAGAGATAAATTTAATTTTCGGCGACTTTATGAGGAAAATTCGCCCGTGTAACGAGAAATTTCCATCTAATTGCTAACACTAATTAAGAATAGCGCAAAAAGGAGGATAAAACAGACAAATACAAGTTTTATTTGTACTACGAAATGCTGTTGAAATGCACGAAAAAAAAAAAAGGGAAAAGTACAAAATAAACTCTTCGTTAATTTTTCCTTGTCATTCATTCCCCGAAATCTAAACATATGTTATTATTACCGCGTATAACGAATTTTCTTTTGAAGTGTGGAGACCATAAAGTTTGATTAGGCAACCTTTTGTGTTAGTTTACATAAACAAAATGCTCTCTGCTCTCTCCGTTTCGGCTTTGAAAAGGAAAATAATAAATTCGATTCCATAGACAAACACCGCTGAAAACAGTTACCATTGTGTAAATAAAAAGTTTACGTTACGTTTATTATGTACCTATCACAAAATTTCGAGGTATACAAAGTAAAAATACATTTTCCCAAGAACACCAATTTTACAATTATATTTTTTTCTATTTAGAGGTGCTGTTATCTTTTAGATGCTCTCGGGACATTTGCATTCGAATAAAATAATAAAAAAAAAACACCGAACCTTGACACAGTAATTTAGTTCCTGCCGGACTGCTATCGGAAAATAAAAAGAACTCCCTGTTATATTCCGCGCTATTGAAGCAACAGAGCTTTTATTTATTTTCGTGCACAACAAGATGGATTAGTCTTTTGTTGTGATAAACCTGCATGCTCTAAAATCCGGTAATTTCTGTGTCGCAGGAATATACGCGTTTTCGATGCGATGATTGATTATGGACGCTTTGTTTGATATTTTACCGTGTTGTACAGGCAGGATTCCAAACATTTGTCATTCTTCTAGCACTTGTGTTAACGGATAATTAAAAATTAGAAGAGATACTTCCTGAATTTCGCTTTAATAATTTCTATTTTTTCGGCGAAATTGCGTGACAAATTTGCTTAGGAAATTCGCTCGAAATTCTCTTCTATAACGTATCGAGTGAGTAAAATCCCTTCGAGCTAATCATTTCTTACTTTTAGCCCGTTTTATATCCGTAACCGATGGGTTTTTATTATTCCGTTTCCTTTATTTTACTATTACCGTTTCGAAAATGCTTCACAATACGTCGAAATGAAGAAGTTTGAAAGTTGTTAAACGAAATGGGAGTATTTCAACGTTAACGCGTTATAAAGTAAATTAAAAAAATAGTAAGTAAGTGTGCAATAAAAAAAATATATGTCGGTAGGTACTATATATAAAACGTTTAATTTTAGTATTGATTTCGAATTTTGTCTTATTAGAGGATTTTGTATAAATTTGAATATTTAATAAGATAATAAACTAGTTAAGTTATAGTTTCAAAATTAGATAAACTTTTTGAAGAATGGACTAACAACGAAAGTTATACACCCGATCCGGCGAGATTGCATCAACTAATCAAGGGAAAAAATTTAATTAAAAACTTTATAATAACATGCATATTCATCCCGCGAAACGAACGGTATTTCCAGCCGGCTCGTCCGCGAGTTTTTCCTCCATTTCGCGGAAAAACCATTACCCGAAAAAAAGATCGAAAATTTCACTTACCGTACGCCTGACATTGCACGATTTTCGCCGTTCCTATTCTAATGATGCTGCTGCTCAACGACGATGTCGTGAATCTCGGCGCTTGCAGCAAGTTTTCTGAAAAAGGAAAAATCCCTTATAAATACCAAACGAACAATCAATTAATGTTATAAATTATCACTCGTTTTTCATAAGCGCTCTAGAATCAAACGAAAATTAATTGATCAACACCATTTCTTCAGGGATAAAGGAGGATTAGGGGAAGGATAGGGGAAAGGTAGGGTAGGTTATTTAACCCAACTAGGTTTATATTAATTTGCACACCTGGGGAATTAATAGCCATCAAATAGGGGGTTTTAAATTTTTAAATACCTCGATAATACTTCATATAATATAAGAACTAAATTTGGTAAACATTTTAGGAGAATGTACGAGTATTATTTGAGGTAAGTATTTTGTTAATATAATTTTGTACAATTATTTTCTATAAAGTTCGGTAGGTTTTTTGTTTGTTTTGTGTGTGTGGGGGCGATAGTTCGTTATCGGTAATGATCGGTATAATAAGTAAAACTGGGACAAGCGGGTGTAAAATGGCGAGAGGAAAAAGGGAGTAAATTTAAAACGGGTGTTTATTTGATTTATCCGAGCGCTCCGGCGACGTGTCGAAGCGCATATAAATAAATATCCGAAAAGCTTTTCTAGTTTTTTTTCGGCATCGGCCTGTCAATTTGGAAATTTAAATGGCGGTTAAACGCTTTATCGGGGACTTTGTCGTTTTTATGGGGATTTTGAAATATAATGTCTTTTCGGGGAAATTATGTTGTTTTCCATTAAATCGCGTATGCGCTTTTGTATACAGATAAGCGTGCTCGTTATTTCGAATAGAATTTCGAACCGGATAAGCGTTCAATTCGATGGAGTTTTATATACAAACAAAACAGGGAAATTCCGGCTCGGAGGTCACCGTTAATGGGGAAATCTTGTACTATACGATTCTTATTCGTTGCGTCTTCCGACAATTACCTTCAAATTGCTGTAAAGCCTAAGTTAGTTCGAGTTTCGGAACTACAAAACGTGTCATATATGTCTTCAACTTACACTATATAAACTCCGAAACAACGAGGAACGTACGAGGGTAGATCGAAAAGTTCTCGGTATGATACATTGAAGGCGCTCCGATCTGCAAAAATTCTCGTTTCCTCTTTGTTCTAGAACCATTATAGAACTCTCCAGAATCATTGTCAGACCGAGAACTTTTCACATTACCCTTGTATATATATAACAATACTCTATTATTATTTTTGCTAGAACCATGCAACCTTGACTTACATAGTATGTATTTTCGATCGGTTTGAATAAAAAAAATGATCGGTGCGTGAAGGTAAATAATGAAACGTTCGAAACACAACGTAGAAAGTGGTAAAATTTCCTTGAACTTTACGCGTTTAGTTTTAAACTTGGGGCGTTCGCATCCTCGCGCTCGTTGAAATAGAACAAAAGTAAATAATATGGGCAAGTAAAATACAGAGTGTCTGGCGGTTACGCAAATAGCTTTTATACTATATAGTATACTATATAGTAGTTTTCGAGCAGACGTGGTGCCTATTCGTTTTCGTTTGCTTCGACATTTTCGCATGTCGAGGGTCATTTCCCTCCCGTTTGTAAAACTAAAATATTTACTCTTTTAATTCATGCCGTATTTTGGAATTTTCGAGTGTTTTCTATTTTTAACCGTTTCTTCAAACTATACCATCTGTTTCCTATTTAAATATACGCTTCTTTAAAGTCTTTTATTATTCAACTTTTAATCGCATGTAATTACTTTTGCTTGTAAGGATAATGTCTTTGTATAAATATCTAGTAAAAAATTCCAGTAGTGATTGGATATTGCAGGAATATTTTCGAGTAAATTGGCTTACTGGAAATTGCCCTTGTCGAGTCGAGAAAAATGTTCTTGTACAAGAAAAAAAATTCGGGCAATTAATTTAATCGCGGGGGAATTCCCGGTTATGAAATTCCGGGTGTAAATTACAAAACCTCCGAAAATAATGCGAAAATTCTAAATATTATTAAGTTTCTTGAATTTCCTGATACTAAAATTATACTTTGTTATTAGTTAAACACAAAATAGACCGGATAAATAACAATTAATTCCATTTCGACGAATATTGTGACAATTATTAATTGTGTTTGAGAAATTATTACTTCATAACTTTCAACGAAAATTATTATTATGCTAAATAAACAAATTGTTGTGGAAACTGAAACGTTACATCCATAAAAAAATTACTATTAATAATAAATAACACAAAACTGCCTGAATAATTTTTCTGGAGTAGCATACAAAGACCAAAATTACAACTCGCGATAAATCACCGGCACAAACCGAAAAACTATAAAGGTAAATTGAAATCGAATCAATTTCCAATACAGACCGCACAAAGTCTTTGAGGCGATAATTAGAATCGGTATACATATAAAGGACGAAAAAAGAAAACCGGAAACCTTTTGAAAGGAAAAACCGACATCAGTCAGACAGTCCTCATGCATTAGTAAAAAGTCCGCGGGGTCGGCGTGTAGGCAGGTCTATTTGCGTGTAGAAAAACCGGCGACGCGGCCGGTCATTCAGCCGGGAAATTCTTCCTCGGGAAGTAAATGCCTCGGAAACTTAAGTTTCTAAATTATTTAGCGGACGGCATTAAACGGGGAAGAGGTTCTTCTTTTTAAAAACGAAACGACTGATAGTGTTCGCCCGTTACGGGGATATTTTAAAGGGACGTTTTACGAGCTTTTATTTATCGCGCCCGAGACGAACTTTATAAATAAGAAACTTAAATGTTAAACGGCTATACCAAACCGGAGTGCATCTATATACTCTAGTTTTTTTTTTTTTTTAGTGAAATGAATTTCGTAAATTAAGTCACGTGCATAAACATGTACGAGAATTTTAAATAAATTAAATTCGACCGAAGGAAATGAGAGAAAAATGGCGATTTGTTTAAAACTTCGCCGTCTGTTTTATTCAGCGAGTCTCGACCGGATTGCATAAAAGATTTCTCGAAGTTTCGCGCGCGATTTCGGCACGACAAATTTCAAATTGGTCGCCGATCGAAAAGAAGCGACTTCATTGGAAAAACTCTAAATTTCTTATGCATTAATCCCGCTACTTCTTCACCTACATGTATAAATAATACAAAAGCTAACCAATAAACCACCGCAGGTCTATTCTATATACTCTGCTATACTCTATATATTAAATTGGACTTTAAGATGCGTAAATAACCGTTAATTTTCAATCTATAGAATACCTGTCAATTCCCCTAAACCGCACACTCGACATAAATCTCAATTAAGCCGAAATTGATAAAACTCGCTCGAGTTCAAGTACCTCATGTACATATACGTTCGATTTACGAGCACGTGTTCCGGATTTGTTAAAAGCTTATGCACCGGCTTATGTCGACACGATGAATTAGAATAAATAGGCACCCAGTTTGACCAATTCACATGCTCCGTGGTGGATCTTCCACCATTATTACAAACGGTTATCATCAGCTCTATCTCGAGTAATGCACCGAACGACGTTTTAATAATTAATGTAAATAGATCTATTCGGAGTAGAATAAGGCAGAATATGCTAATAATGGACTTGGAGTTTAGTAATAGTAATAGTAATAGTAATAGCATAGTCGCTCATTAGAGTAACGTTGCTATAACAGAGTTCGTCAGGTAAAGATGATACATTCGGGCTGAATTAACTCGCCGGTAAAGGCCGCACAAATCGATGCATTATGAAAATACATTACATATTGCAAGTGATGTGCAATTCGATCGCGCCCCAGGCTCTGCAAGAGCCTAATATTCAAAAGCCTGCTAAGTGAGGGAGAACGAAGTGGATTAAGAGACCTAATCCGGATGTGTAACGGTGCGGCGTAACCGACACTTATAAGAGTTATTTTTAAAACGGGGGAGGGAAAAAAAAAGGAACAGATGTATTTATGTACAGCAAATGGAAATGATGATAAATATATGTATGTGAATTATATCGATGGGGCGGTATCGCGTGGGACGACGACATAAGGTGATAATTTACCGATAAAATATACCGTGCCTAATAATATATCGAACGGGGCGCTTTGCTTATTCGGTTCAATTGAGTATTATACAAGGATTTCGTATAGGGATTTTGCTATAGGTACTATTTCCATTCGAGTGGATTAAATGGATTGTATTAGTGCAAATTCTACGACAGTTCTATTCTGAAACACTCTGATCTACTGTAAACTACTTCGAACTACTCTGAACTGCATTAAATCTACTCTGAATTGCATTGAATCTACTCTGAACTGCTCTGATCTACTCTAAACTACTTTTAACAACTCTGAACTGCATTAAATATACTCTGAATTGCTCTGATTTACTGTAAACTACTTCGAACTACTCTGAACTGCATTTAATCTACTCTGATCTACTCTATACATGCTATCTATTCAATATCATTGCGGTTTTAATTCACGCACCGCTCTCGAGCGATATTTAAATGTTTGACGAGAGACATTCGCCTCGAGCGGGCGACCCCAAAATTTATTTCTCGTTTGTATTTAGGATCAATTGTAATTCGGACGGGCCCGCGCACGCCCCCCTCTATAATAAACAATTTATTTTAATTGGGGCGGTCGAACGCACGCCGCGTATTATCGCTGAATAATAAGCGAATTCGACTGTGGGGAGTGTTTATATCGAGGAAATATTATTCGTTTGTGTGCTCTCGATTTTTTTGGAAAAGAGCGGATGAAAGGGTGAATTCGATTTTCTATATCGAGTGTGTGTGTGTGTATAGTGGTGTTCGATGCACCTGTACCGGTTTATATTTCGTATCGAGATGCGTGGAAAAATGAACTATTTTAGGTGGGAAATCGATACAAAAAAAAAATAATTTCGAAGCATTAAGGGTAGTTATAAGCGAACGAGCTATAATAGCCGAGTAAATTATTAATTCCCGAGCGGCCGAAGCTCGAGTTTAAAAACCCGAATGAATAATAATTAAAAATTTCCGCAATAACTTTAAGGTTGACGCCGTCACGTTTTGCCGGTGTAATAGAGAAAATTCACGCGAT